CTGACTCCAGGGGCGTGACCCCCTTTACACTGCCGGGGATCTGGACTTTCCCCTCAATCACTAGTTTACCTTTACCCACCAGGTGGAGATCAGTGACGGGGAGGGAATTGCCCGCAGGTGCCTCCAGGTGCCGCCTAGCCAGCGCTCCATCCTCATTTATACCAAGGCACTTCAGTGCTGCTTCCGCTGGGAATGGAACCCAGGCATCCTGGTTCCCAGCCCCCCGGCTCTAACCACTAGACCCCACTCCCCTCCCAGAGCTGGGGATAGAACCCAGGAGTCCTGGCTCCCAGCCCCCCGCCACAATATTAAATTCCTTTAGCCTCGAGGGGCTGGGAGTGAGTATCCTTTGCTTTGTGAAGCCGCCTTTTCCCAGGGCAGCTGAGCGATGTGATTAGCAAGGCTTTCAGTAGATAAGGAAGGGATGATGGAACAATCAGGGGAGGAGGCAGGTGTGTGGGGCAGACACCAGGGGGCGCCAGCGGGGGGTGGGGGCGTTATCTGTGCTGGCAGGGCTCATGCGCATCCCTACAATGCAGCAGTCCAGTGGTCCACCTACCCAGAGTCTGGTGGCCCATCCCCAGGGAGAGACATGACGCCCCACAGTGGATAGTGCTGGGATAACCGGTGTTACGTGCCCAGCACACCGGGGGACAGCCCAGACCCACAGGAAATGCTCCTGTTGGCAGACAGCAGCATGAGGCTCCTTTCCCAGCACACATGGACCCCAAAACAGGGAGAGACGAAGCAGGCTGCTCCCTAGGGCAGTGAGCACAGCTCCCCCCACCCTAGGCTGGGCTGGCTGGAAACTGAGGAGCTCTCCACAGAGCCTCCGAGCCTGCAGGCAGGATCAGGAACGAGACCCCCCCCACAGCCCTTGGTACCCCACAGCCTGTCCCCATGGACAGTCAGACCCCCACCCCACCAGACTGAGTCTTTGCTACGCAGCGGTCCAGCTTCTCCTCCAGCAGCCTGGGGAGGGAGCAGCCTTGGGCTGGGCTCTTTGAGATCCAGGGTTTGAATCGGCCAAAGAAACAGCCATAAAATAACTCCCAGAGCTCCGCCAAGGCGGCCAGGCCGGGACTGGGCGGGCTGCAGGTCAGCTGGGATGTGCACAGCAGATTGCGGGGCCAGGGTTCGGTACTCCAGTTAGCGTCACTCCGGATTGACCCCGGGGAGCTGAGATCAGGATCCGGCCCCACCCACTGCAGTCAGGGGTGACTCCGGATTGACCCCAGGGGAGCTGAGATCAGGATCCGGCCCTGCCCCCATTGCAGTCAGGGGTGACTCCGGATTGAGCCCAGGGGGAGCAGAGGTCAGGATCCGGCCCACACCTCTATGAGGCAGCCAAGTTTGGTCCCCTGATGGGGAGAACACCCCACTCCTGGCAGGTCCCCAAAGTCCCCAAATTGGCAGCCCCTGCATTAACCCTTTTCACACCCTGATCTCCAGCTGGGGGTGGGCAGGAGCAGGCCGGGGGGGGGGGGATGCTCCTCCTTCCCACCCCCTCCTCCTGTCTATATTGACTCCCTTTGGGAGGCGAGTCTGGCACCTGGATCCTCTCAGCCCAGCCACTCAGCGGGGTCATTGCCCACAAGGCCACATTCTGGGGTTTGCTGGAGGAGCCCCTGCTTTGTGTCCTGCCCCAGGGGGTGGGGTGCAATGTCAGGCTGCCTTAGGGGTCCAGCTGAGCACCCCTTGGAGCTGTGCCAGCCTTCCCGGGCTGAGAGATTAGAGACATGAAAGAGACTGACCCTGGGGACTGTGGGTTGGGAGTGAGGGGCACCACCGATCTGGGACAGGGAGCCCAGGGCTGGGCTAGCAGGGGCTGCAGGTTGGGAGTGAGGGGCACCGGCAGAGCTGGGGGGGCCGTCTCAGGTGCCTGTGTACTGGAACCACGTGGGATATAGCCCCCTCAACCCCTGGCTGCCCTCGGCGCCAGGCACCCCAGAGCCCAATGATCCCAGCTGGCATGGGGCACGGCAGGGGGTGGGGGTGGATGGCTCAGGCTGCCTGGCCGGTGGCTTCTCTGCCCCAGCCTGAGGCATGACGCATCCGCCCAACAGACCCCTGGGCACAAAGCCCCCAGCCTGGCGCTCCATGGCATGGAAACCTGAGCCTGGCGAGCGCTGCCCTCCGGAGCCGTCCGCTCATCGCTGCTGCTTTAACCCCTGCGGACAGACAGAGCGGACGGATCTGGGACACCCTCGTGACCTGCGGCAGAGAGCAGGGGCTAGTGGTTAGAGCAGGAGGGGCTGGGGGCCAGGACTCCTGGGTTCTCTCCCTGGATCTGAGAGGGAAGTGGGGTCTAGTGGTTAGAGCAGGGGGGCTGGAAGGCAGGATTCCAGGGTCTATTTCTGGGTCACCGTGGGGTCCTTCCCATCTCCATGCCTCGGTTTCCCCATTTATAAAATGGGGACAGTGCCACTGACCCAGCTCTCAGATCTAGGGCCAAAGAGGGTGGAGTCTCCTGATTCATTTAGGGTCCCCCGACCAGCTCCCCTCCCCAGTCCCAGCTAGGATCACAAGGGAGACCCACATGCCCCAAGGGTGGAAGTGGGGTGGCTCCCCTCTCCCTTCCAGTGGCAACTGTTCCTCCAGCTTGGCCTGGGGGGTGATCCTCCTGCTGGAAGCAGCCGCCCAGGACCACAGTCCCACCTGGCAGCTCTTCTGGGGGTTAATGTTTAAACCAAAAAGCCCCAGGCTTGTAATAGGCTCCTGCCCCATTGCAGCTTTTATTGGGCACTTAATCTGGGCAAATACACCCCAGGCTTTACTGGGGAGGAGTCCTGGGCTGGGAGTCACCCACCGAGGAGCCAGGACACCTGGGTTCCAGCCCCAGCTGCAGGAGGGGGCTGGGAGCCAGGTCTAGTAGTTAGGGCGGAGGGCTAGAGCCAGGACTCCTGGACTCTATCCCCACTCTTCCAGTGACCTCAGGCAAGTCTTGTCCTCTCTCTGTGCCTCAGTTTCCACATTTGTAAAATAGGGATAAGGTTCCTCTTTGTGTCTATGGAGACTGAGCTGGTGGGGGCCGGGACTGTCTCTCACTCAGTGTCTGTGCAGCTGCAGCCACCCAGGGTCTCATCTCAGCTCCCGCTGTAGGTGGGACCCTCACACAAACACCAGATAAGATCCCCTGGCCTTTATCAGATGTATTGTCTTTCCCTAGAGCTCTTTTACTCATGGGGAACCCTGTTGTGTGCTGGTTTGTTTATTGCAGGGTAGCTTGTGAGGACTGGGCCTGTGGATGTATTATTATTCAAATTACCGTTGAATTCAAAATTCAAATTCAAAAGCCTTGACTGACATCAGGGCCCCCGTCGTGCCAGGTGCTGCCCAGACCCTGACCGAGATCAGGGCCCCGTCGTGCCAGGCGCTGCCCAGACCCCGACCGAGATCAGGGCCCCCTTCTGCCAGGTGCTGCCCAGACCCTAACCGAGATCAGGGCCCCGTCGTGCCAGGCGCTGCCCAGACCCCGACCGAGATCAGGGCCCCCTTCTGCCAGGTGCTGCCCAGACCCCGACCAAGATCAGGGCCCTGTCGTGCCAGGCGCTGCCCAGACCCCAACCGATATCAGGGCCCCGTCATGCCAGGCGCTGCCCAGACCCCGACCGAGATCAGGGCCCTCTTCTGCCAGGTGCTGCCCAGACCCCGACCGAGATCAGGGCCCCGTCGTGCCAGGCGCTGCCCAGACCCCAACCGATATCAGGGCCCCGTCGTGCCAGGCGCTGCCCAGACCCCGACCGATATCAGGGCCCCGTCGTGCCAGGCGCTGCCCAGACCCCGACCGATATCAGGGCCCCGTCGTGCCAGGCGCTGCCCAGACCCCGACCGATATCAGGGCCCCATCGTGCCAGGCGCTGCCCAGACCCCGACCGATATCAGGGCCCTGTCGTGCCAGGCGCTGCCCAGACCCCAACCGATATCAGGGCCCCGTTGTGCCAGGCGCTGCCCAGACCCCGACCGATATCAGGGCCCCGTTGTGCCAGGCGCTGCCCAGACCCCGACCGATATCAGGGCCCTGTCGTGCCAGGCGCTGCCCAGACCCCGACCGATATCAGGGCCCCATCGTGCCAGGCGCTGCCCAGACCCCGACCGAGATCAGGGCCCCGTCGTGCCAGGCGCTGCCCAGACCCCGACCGAGATCAGGGCCCCGTCGTGCCAGGCGCTGCCCAGACCCCGACCGAGATCAGGGCTGTTTGAGGTGTTTGTCTTCCATTGACATGAACGAGCCTTGCTTCTCTCTGACACCCCAGTCCCAGCACAGGGAGACGCAGAGGAAACAGCCAGTCCTGCTCTAAGACAGGACAAAACCAGGAACTTGGTGGGGCAAAAATAAACTGACAGAAAGTCCCCACGGCAGTGGGTGTAAAGGGAAGCATGCCAGTCACAGCTGGTGTAAATCAGGAATAGCTGCAGGGAAGGCAGTGGGGATAGCCTGGGGTAAAGCTGCCGTAAACGAGTGAGGAGCCGGCTCCGAATTGCCCCTTCCTGTTTCAGTATTAGGTCTGTGCCAGCCACGGGCCAAGGCAGCATCATCTGGCGGTTGGGGGCTGGGCTGCAGTCAGGACACCTGGGTCTGGGCAGCGCCCGGCCCAACGGGGCCCTGATCTTGCTGGGATCTGGGCAGCGCCCGGCGTAAAGGGGCCCTGATCTCCACTGCTCACTATTATCGTGTTAATAAGAATAGAAAAGGTCGAATTTTTACTCGCCCCTGGTGTGCCGTGGACGTGGGCAGCAGCCTCCCGCCCCCCTCAGCGCCCCAGCCCTGCGCCCGCCTGCCCCGGGCCTCGCCTGCTCCTTTCCCAGCGCCTGTAACTTTAACAGACAGAAAACTTTCTTTCAGGCTTTCTTCTGCTCTCCTCCCATTAACCCCTCGGCTGCCGGCTGGAATTTCCCAGCCATTCACCCCAGCGCTGGGGACAGCAGCTCCCTGCCCCCTTCTCCATTCGGGCCCAGCCAAGTTTCAGCCCAGGCAGCGTGGGTGGGTGGGGAGCCAGGCGGGGAGGGAAGCGTCAGCAGCCCTGGCTCTGGCCCTGGCCCTGGCTCTGGCTCTGGAAGGAGAGAAGCCAGAGGGCTGGGAAGGGGCCAGGCACTCGCTGGGGTTGGGGTGTGTGTTTCAATCTTGCTTTGGGAACTTTTCTGACACCCAGGTGCCGGCGGCTGAGAGAAGCGGGGAGTCAGGTGCGGACACCGCGAAGGGGGACGCAGCCAGGAGTGAAACCCACTGGTCGGCCGAGGAAGGAGAACTGGAACCAGCTCTGTTTCGGGGGGCTTGCACTGGTCTGGCCCTTCGCAGGAGGGACTCAGCCGGGAGGAATTTCTTTCCCCCAAGCCCCGGCCAACCAGTCTTCGAGGCACGGATCCGCCGTGTGGAGCCAACGCTGCTTCGGGACCCGCCTGGACCAATTCCGGCTGTGGGACAGTTCCCAACCCCTGGGTGTTTCTTTCCGGGCAGGGCTCCTGGCTCTGGCCCACCACCCCGGCCCCCCAGATCAGTTCCGGGAGCCGGTGACTTGGGGGGAAATCGGAGCCGACGGCTTGTTTTGGTTTGCAGAACATGGGCAAGGCCCGCAGCTCCCTCCTGTGCGTGCTGGTGGCCTGCTGGATGGGCTCGGGCACCCCGGCGGGTGAGTACGCGAGGCTGCCCAGTGACCCACCCTGAGCCCCTCCGCGGAGGCTCAGTTCCCAGGCTGGGCCAGGCGCTGTGGAAATCTGGCCCTTTTAAGGCAGTCAGGCACCCCAGGCAAGTCACCCTGGCAAGTGTGAGCCTCCCTCACAGCGCTGCTCCGCGGGGCCGGACAGATTGGTGGCGAAAGCCTTTGCAATCCTTCTGGAAGGGCCTGGGCTGGAGGTCAGGACACCTGGGTCCAACGTCTGGCTCTTCCACTGCCTCCCTGGGCCTCCTGCACAAAGTAGGGCAGAGCCAACCCACAGGATCGGAGCCATCTTCCCATGTGCCCCACTGCATGCAGAGGCAGCTGGGTCCTAGAGGGTAGGGCAAAGGGCTGGGCCTATGGGAGACCTGGGTTCAAATCTTGCCTCTGCCACAGACTCCCCATGTGACCCTGGCCAAGTCCCTTCACCCCCACTGTGCCTCGGTTTCCCCATTTGTGATCAGGATCTTGACCAATCTCAGGGGCGCGGGAAGGGTAAATCTCCGTTGGGTTTAGGGGTGGGCTGGGACAGAGAGGAGGTCAGACTCCCTGCGCTGTTGGGGAGGCGCCCAGAGCCCACAGTGAGGAGGGTCGTAGAGGTACCTAAATAGGTGGGTGCTAAAAATGGCTTCACCACAAAGTATGCTGCGGGCAAGGGGCCTGGTCAGAGCCCAGCGGGGCTGGTGGACTCAGGGCCCAGGGCTGGGCTAGCAGGGGGCTGCGAGTCGGGAGTGAAGGGCACCAGGGCACCGGCAGAGCTGGGGGGCAGGGCTGGGACCCAGGGGGCTGCGGGTCGGGGCGGAGGGGCACTGGCAGAGCTGGGGGGGGCAGGGCTGGGACTCAGGGGGCTGCGGGTCGGGGCTCCAGCAGAGCTGGGGAGCAGGGCTGGGACCCAGGGGGCTGTGGGTCGGGGCTGAGGGGCACCGGCAGAGCTGGGGGGGGGCAGGGCTGGGACCCAGGGGGCTGCGGATCGGGGCTCCAGCAGAGCTGGGGGGCAGGGCTGTGCATGTCACACATGACGTCTCCTGGCTGGGAGAGTTTTGCACCTGCAGCTCCCCTCAGCCAGCGGCTCGGGGACCAGCACGCCCAGGGCCAGGCTGGTGGGTCACTGCTCAGACCAGCCCCCTCCACCCCGAAGGGACCCAGAACAGCTGAGGAGCCCGCCCTGCTGATTGGGGCCAGACATCTGGGACTGGTTACAGCCAGGCCGGCCTGTACAGCCCCCGCCCTGAAGCCAGGCGTCCGGGGGCCCTTCCAACTGGCCCGAGAGCCCGACCGAGATCAAGCCCCCCCTTGCCGGGTGCTGCCCAGACCCTGACCGAGATCAGGGCCCCGTCATGCTGGGCGCTGCCCAGACCCTGACTGAGATCAGGCCCCCCTTGCTGGGTACTGCCCAGACCCCGACCGAGATCAGGGCCCCGTCATGCTGGGCGCTACCCAGACCCTGACTGAGATCAGCCCCCCCCCTTGCCAGGTGCTGCCCAGACCCTGACCGAGATCAGGCCCCGTCGGGCCGGGCGCTGCCCAGAGACACAGGCTCTGCCCCGACGAGCTCCCAGTTGACCAGCCCAGAGGAAGATGATTCTCCTCATTTCCCAGAGCGATGCAGGGACTGACCCCAGGCCCCCCGGGGCAGCAGTGGCAGAGCTGAGATTTGAATGCAGGTTTCCACAGCCCTTTCACCACTAACCCAGCCCTCCCCGGGAGCCTCTGCCCAGCCCCCCATCTCTGAGCCCAGCTGGGCTCTCGGGGGTGAGTCCCAGGTCCTGAGATCTCTGCCGCGGGGCCAGCTGGGCTCTCGGAGGTGAGTCCCAGGTCCTGAGATCTCTGCAGCAGGCCAGGACATGCTGGGAACAGCCGCCCGGGGGGGGCCCTGGCCCCGGCCCCTCTGCCGGAAGCTCGGAGGGGAGAAATGAAAGAGGAAATAAATAGTTTTGAACCACAACAGGGGGAGGGGGAAGGGGGGGGGTGTCATGCTCCAGGCCGGGTGCCTGTGGCTAATACACACAGCTGGGGGGGCGGGGGAGTTGGGGGCAGGGGCTGTACAGAGCTCTCAGGCTGCTGCTGTGACCCACAAGCTCCCAGAGTGAGGAGCGGGGCCCTTGCCAAGATGCTTCTGCTTCCCACGCCCAAGGGTGGCGGGGGGGGGGGGAATCTGGGAAGATCCCTGCTCAAGGGGGCTGCAGAATAATCATCTGTCAGTTGGCCGCTGGGGAAACCGAGGCACAGAGGGGTGGGCAGGGACTGTCCAAGGCAATGCAGAGAATCAGTGGCCAAGCCAGGGATGGAACCCAGGTGTCCTGATTCCCAGCCCTCTGCTATGCGCAGGCATTCAGGTGATACGATACCAACATGGGGCGGCCGTGCCCACCCCAGGCACCGCTGGCTGCCAGCTCGTCTTGCACAAGGCAGGCCGCTCGCACGTAATGCCAGCTCGGGCATTCCCTCGGTGCTGTGCCAGCCAAGTGCCTCCCGGGGGGGGGGACGGGACAAGGGGCCTCTGTCCTGGGGGTCCTCCTGCCCCCCAGCCCAGGCCGCAGGGCGTCGCTGTGCAGGGGGGTCTGTCAACCCGGGACAGGCTCCAAACCCTGCCCCACCTTACCCAACACACCAGAGAGCCGGGCCCTCAGGATGAGCCCCCCCTGGGCTCACTCCCAGCAGGTGCAGCGAGTCGCATGCTTCAGGGCCAGAGCCCCAGGGGTCAGGAGGGACGTCCCCTCAAACCCCAGCCCACAGGCCGGCTCTGGGTGAAAACCAGCCTCTGACTGTCTCTAGGACTTCGGGACTGAGGCTGTCCCAGGGGCTCATGATGATTTATGTCCCTGGGATGTAGGCATACGCAGGGATCCCTTGCCCAGCAGAGATGCAGCTGCTTCTGGGGTGGGGCACGGGGGCTGTTTATCCAGGGACCCCTCACCCAGAGCTGAGATGCAGCCACCTCTGGGGTGGGGCGCGGGGGCTGTTTATCCAGGGACCCCTCACCCAGAGCTGAGATGCAGCCACCTCTGGGGTGGGGCGCGGGGGCTGTTTATCCAGGGACCCCTCACCCAGAGCTGAGATGCAGCCACCTCTGGGGTGGGGCGCGGGGGCTGTTTATCCAGGGACCCCTCACCCAGAGCTGAGATGCAGCCACTTCTGGGGTGTGGCGCGGGGGCTGTTTATCCAGGGACCCCTCACCCAGAGCTGAGATGCAGCCACCTCTGGGGTGGGGCGCGGGGGCTGTTTATCCAGGGACCCCTCACCCAGAGCTGAGATGCAGCCACCTCTGGGGTGGGGCGCGGGGACTGTTTATCCAGGGACCCCTCACCCAGAGCTGAGATGCAGCCACCTCTGGGGTGTGGCGCGGGGGCTGTTTATCCAGGGATCCCGCGCCTGGCTCTGAGGTGCAGCTGCTTCCATACCCAGGGGATTCTGGGGGGCAGCCTCTGGCTCTGGACCCCTTCATCTCGTCCCTGTCCCCCCCCCCGCAGACCTGTACTTCCTGGAGAGCCCCTCGAACCAGACCTCATCCCTGGGCAAGGACGTGCGGCTGCGCTGTGCCATGCAGCTGAGCCAGGAGCTGCCCGAGATCAGCTGGCGGCGGGACGGGCAGGTGCTGGAGCTGGCCGACAGCAACCAGATGCAGATGCCCATAAACGACACGGTCTGGCTGGCCATCAGCGAGCTCAGGTGAGCGGGGGCCTGGGGGGAGGGGCCTGGGGGGCACAACAGCTCCTGGGGACCAGGCAGGGTCCCCCCTGCCGCCTCCTGGTGTCGGCACACGGGGCGGCTGCGTGGCCCGGTAGGGGAGGAGCCAGGATCCTGGGCCAGAGGGGCCCCTTGGTCTCACCTGGGGTGGGAAGGACGGGGACACGGGGCTAGTGGCCTGTTGCTCTGATCTGGCTGCCCGCAGAGGCCCCTGTGTTGGCCCCGTTGGGGAGAGGCGGGTGGACTGGGAGAGGGGCAGAGGAAGGGTTGGGGGGGAGGTGATATTGGGGGACCACCCTCGCCATGGAGCCCATTATATCCCCTCATTAATAATGATTTGCCTTGGGTGGGCAGCTCCCAAACGACCCACCTGTCCCCCACCCCTGCCCATGGCCATGTCCCTGTCCGGGGGTGAGCGGTGAGACTTCGCTGTGCCAGGGGGGTGCCCGCCCTGCTCACGCTCCCTCTCCACCCTGCAGCATCCCATCCGTGCAGCTCTCAGACGCGGGCAGCTACCAGTGCGCCATGTGGGTGAACGGGGAGGAGGTGCTGTCCGACACAGCCCACCTGGGGCTGGAAGGTGAGTGTCCCAGCGCCAGGGGGCCCGGCATAGATGCCCATGGGGTCAGGGCGGTGTCTGAATAAAGGGAATTGCAGCGACGCTGCCTGGGTCTGCCGAGAGCCTGCGCCCGTCGCTGGGGGGGCTGCCCCGAGCGTGAGTGACGCAGCGACGCTGCCTGGGTCTGCCGAGAGCCTGCGCCCGTCGCTGGGGGGGGCTGCCCCGAGCGTGAGTGACGCAGGAACCCTGCCTGGGTCTGCCGAGAGCCTGCGCCCGTCGCTGGGGGGGGCTGCCCCGAGTGTGAGTGACGCAGCGACGCTGCCTGGGTCTGCCGAGAGCCTGCGCCCGTTGCTGGGGGGGGGCTGCCCCGAGCGTGAGTGACGCAGCGACGCTGCCTGGGTCTGCCGAGAGCCTGCGCCCGTCGCTGGGGGGGGCTGCCCCGAGTGTGAGTGACGCTGGGTCTGCCGAGAGCCTGCGCCCGTCGCTGGGGGGGGGGCTGCCCCGAGCGTGAGTGACGCAGGAACCCTGCCTGGGTCTGCCGAGAGCCTGCGCCCGTCGCTGGGGGGGGGGGGCTGCCCCGAGTGTGAGTGACGCAGCGACGCTGCCTGGATCTGCCGAGAGCCTGCGCCTGTCGCTGGGGGGGGCTGCCCCGAGTGTGAGTGACGCAGCGACGCTGCCTGGGTCTGCCGAGAGCCTGCGCCCGTCGCTGGGGGGGGGGCTGCCCCGAGTGTGAGTGACGCAGCGACGCTGCCTGGGTCTGCCGAGAGCCTGCGCCCGTCACTGGGGGGGCTGCCCCGAGCGTGAGTGACGCAGCGACGCTGCCTGGGTCTGCCGAGAGCCTGCGCCCGTCGCTGGGGGGGGGCTGCCCCGAGCGTGAGTGACGCTGGGTCTGCCGAGAGCCTGCGCCCGTCGCTGGGGGGGGCTGCCCCGAGTGTGAGTGACGCAGCGACGCTGCCTGGGTCTGCCGAGAGCCTGCGCCCGTCACTGGGGGGGCTGCCCCGAGCGTGAGTGACGCAGCGACGCTGCCTGGGTCTGCCAAGAGCCTGCGCCCGTCGCTGGGGGGGGCTGCCCCGAGCGTGAGTGACGCTGGGTCTGCCGAGAGCCTGCGCCCGTCGCTGGGGGGGGCTGCCCCGAGCGTGAGTGACGCTGGGTCTGCCGAGAGCCTGCGCCCGTCGCTGGGGGGGCTGCCCCGAGCGTGAGTGACGCAGCGACGCTGCCTGGGTCTGCCGAGAGCCTGCGCCCGTCGCTGGGGAGCTGCCCCGGTGTCTTGGTGGGGTGCTAACACCCAATCCCACTGCTCTGGGGATGCTGTGTAGGGCAGTGTGGGGAGAGGGCAGCTAGAGATGCCCCAGGTCCTGGGGCCCCCCAGTGCCCGTCCAAGTGGGGGTGACACTGTGCCCCCAGTGTCCAGGCGGAGCCCTGGAGGATGGACTAGCCTGAATGCAATTCTGCCCTCCCCCAGGTCTGCCCTTCTTCTCCGAGGAGCCCCAGGACCTGGAGGTGGCAGCTGACACCCCCTTTAACCTGAGCTGCAGCGCCCAGGGCCCCCCCGAGCCGGTGCGGGTCATCTGGCTGCAAGACGGGGCCCCCCTCAACTCCCTGGTGGACCCTATGGCGCAGGCGCCCTCCATGCTGGCTGTGAGCGGTGAGTGTGGGGGAGGTGACCCCTTGGGGGCGGGGGTGGGGGGCCAGAACACCCCATCTGTGGGCTCTGTAGAGCGGAGGAGTCCTTGGGAGCGGGGGATGGGGAAGGAGGCAGAGGCAGGAGTGGGGGGAGCAGCCAGCAGAGGTGTGCACTGGCCTCCATTGCCATTCAGTGGGGGGCCCTCGCTGCCCCCCCCCACCAGCCCCGCTCTCAATAGGCCCCTTGTCTCCAGCCCGTGGCCCCGTTTGTCACCTGTCTGGAAGGTGGCATCGGTCACTGGCGGCGGCTGGTTCTCCAGGGCTGAGGCTGGGGCAGGGGGCCACTCTTGGGGCGTGGGAATGGCTTCTGCCAGCCCCCGGGGCGGGAGGCTCAGCCCGGGGCTCTGTTATTGTAGGGTTGCTGCTGGGCAGGGTGTTTATTGCAGAGTCGGCCGCTCGTGCCTGCTGGGTCAGCAGGACTTGTCCCTCCCGCCCGCAGCTCGCCCGGCGCTCGATACAGGGTGAAACCACCGCGGATCCTTGGAGACGAGCACACTGATTCGGGCGACAGCTTTCGCGGGCTGGACCCCACTTCACCAGCTGCATGGGGGGAAAGTACAGAGGCAGGTAGAAATGCACAGCGCCTGAAAAGCTGGGAGTTGCCTTACCAAGGGGGGCAGTGGGGGTCACTACAAAAACTACTTACACCTTCTTATCAACTGTTTGAAATGGCCACCTTGATTGCCATGGCCTCGTTAGCACTACAAAGGTGATTTCCCCTCCCTTGGTATTCACCCCTTCTTGTCAGCTGTTGAGAATAGGCCACCTCCACCTTAACTGAATTGGCTCGTTAGCCCTGCCCCCCACCTGGCAAGGCAACTCCCATCTTTTCATGTGCTGTGTATTTCTACCTGCCTCTGTATTTTCCACTCCATGCATCTGATGAAGTGGGTTCTAGCCCACGAAAGCTTAGGCCCAAATCAATGTGTTAGTCTCTAAGGTGCCACAAGGACTCCTCGTTGTTTTTGCTGATACAGACTAACACGGCTGCCCCTCTGAAATCTTTATAGAGGATGTCGCTCATTACAGGGGAAACTGAGGCGCAGAGCACTGAAGCAGCATCCCCATGGTCACATAGGAAGTCCATGATAGACCCAGGAGTCCTGCTTCCCAGTTCCCCCGCCCTCAGCCAGGGAGAGAACCCAGGAGTCCTGGCTCCCAGCCTCCCCCACCCTGCTCTAACCACTAGGCAGGGGTGGAACCCAGTCTAATTAGCTGAATGTTGAAACAAAAGGCATTTTGACCCGAAAACGGGAATTTTTCCTTGTGAACCATTTGGCTGGTTCCGGTGTCCATGGGACCGCGGGGAGCTGGGAGATGTCGGCGGTTGCCCCATCCGCGCTGGTCGATCTGCATGGGGAGGGTCTCATCTTGCGTGTGGGGGAGGGTCTGTCCCCCCCGGATCAGGACCAGGGAGGGTGTCCCACTGGCCCTGCCCACCGTGTCCAGGGCCCCGAAGCCAGGAGCAGGGCCCCTACCCGTGTACCTGGCAGTCCCGGGCTGTGACAGCGCCCGACCCCCCTTCCCCCTGCCCCAGCCCCTGCGGACGTGGCCAGCCCGGCTGTGCTGACTCAGGCCGGGGGCACGCACGGCAGATGCAGGAGGTGACCAGGGAGTGAGTCAGGCGCCCATCCCAGCCAGGCTGGGGGGAGGAGGGACTGGAGAGGGGCTGAGATGGGTGATGGGGGCTCTGGAGTAGCAGCGTTGGGGGCTGGGAATGGAGAGGCAGCAGTGGGAGGGGCAGGGGAACAGGGGTGTGGGTAGGGGGTGCAGGGCAAGGGGTGCTGGGGGCAGGGGGACTGTGGCGAACAGGGAAGGTGGGGGCAGGGGGTGCAGAGCAAGCGGTGCATGCAGGACATGGGGGGCTATGGCACGGTTGGCACAGGGGGGCCACAGGGGGTGCAAATCCCTGGAAATTGCTTTGCCCCGCTGCCCCTGGGCAGTGGTTCTGGGGCTGCTGCCCAGATCCCCACAGCCCCCCAGATCCTCTGGGCTGGGATCCAGGCAGCGGCAGGAGTGCTGGGGGGGGGGGCAGTACAGCCCCTCACCCAGGTGTCAGGTCTCATGGTGCTTGAGCAACACCTCAGGCCTTCCATTGGCTGTGTCTCTCCTGATCTGTACCCGCTTATCAGCCAGGAGAGAATCCAGGAGTCCTGGCTCCCAGCCCCCCCAGCTCTAACCAGTAGACCCCACTCCCCTGCCAAAGCTGGGGGTGGAACCCAGGAGTCCTGGCTCCCAACCCCCCCAGTCCAGCCCCTAACCCCGTTTGCGGTCCCTGCGCTGAGCAGCGAGACTGGCTGCGGCCGGGGAGCCAGCCCCGGAAATGCCGAGCACACGGCGGGAGCTGGGGACCCGCCTGTGGCTGGGAGGGAGCCTGGGCCCCAGATGTGCGGGGGGAGGGGGCACTGCCAGGCTGGGGATGGTGGGTCTGACTCCCCGGGCAGGCGCCGGATGGGTTCATGGAGCACAGTGTAGACAAAGACACGCCTTGCTGCCCTGCCCCCCGCCCCGCCCCCTCTGCCCCCGTCAGGCCGGGGCACCCTGGCTGGGCCTGCCCTACCTGGTGCCCTGGGCTGCGGCGGGCTGGGGACCCCCTCCCATCACTGCAGTCGGGGGGGCCCCAGGCTAGGCAGAGGGGCAGGGAGTAGGGAGGTGCCAGGGATTTGGGGGCGCTGGGAATGTGGGGCACTGGGGGGGACTGGGAATTTGCACCACAGCCGCTCCCTGCCAGTCGCCCGTCCTGGCGTCCTGAGCAATCTGGCCTTGGGCCGAAGAGCCAGCACCCCGCCCCCCACGCCCTGTGCCCCTTCTCCCAGTCCCTGCGGGGGACGCCCCGATAAGCTGGAGGCGCCATGACCTTGGGGGACGGGAGGCTGCAGGAGCTGGTGCTGGGAACAGGGAGGGATGGGAACGCTTGGCACTGACGTCCCTCGCCCGGACAGACCCGGCCAGGGAAGGGGCAGGGCCCAGGAAGCGGGGCGGGGGTCAGCAGGCGGGCGCTGCTGGGCAGGAGTGAGGGGCACTGGGGGGCAGGGCTGGGATGGCAGGGGGCTGCCAAGCAGGAGTGAGGGGCACTGGGGGGGCAGGGCTGGGATGGCAGGGGGCTGCACCGGCGGGGGTAGGGCTGGCTGTGGGTTTGGAGTGCGGGGCACCTGGGGGCAGCCTGGTCCCCTTGCCCCATGCTCTCCTCCCCCCCGCTTTACCCCTTCCAGGCCTGAACAGAACTGCCTCCTTCTCCTGCGAAGCCCACAATGCCAAGGGCGTGGCCACCTCCCGGACCGCGGCCGTGACAGGTGAGGGGGCCGGGCCCTGCCCCACGCCGTGGATCGGGCCCCGGGAGCCCAGGCTCAGGCCCCGTGGCTGATTGGCAGCTGCTGGGCTCCCCACTGCACCGGGGGGAGGGCGCGCCCCAGGTTGCTTGCAGGGGGCAGGCCCCTGCCCCGACCCCCCCATGAGCCCACAGAGGGTCCCTCAGGATAGCACCTCCCTGCCCAGCCCCCCACGGCCTGGAGCACAGAGGTGGGGTGACGTGGGGCACAGGCTGGGGCAGCCCCTGAACCCTCCCCCATTTGCCGCCGGCAGTGGTCCCCCAGCGGCCCAGGAGCCTGGTGCTGGTGATGCGCAGCGAGAACGCCCTGGAGGTGGGCTGGGAGCCGGGGGCCAGCGGGGCATCGCCCCTCAGCGTCTGCACAGTCCAGGTACGCTCGGCCGGGGGCTGGTCCGCGGGGATCGGGGCCCTGGGGGGCTGAGCACAAGGGGGACTGGTCTGCGGGGATCAGAGCCCTGAGGGGCTGAGCTCATGGGGGGCTGGTCCATGGGGTTTGGGGCCCTGAGGGTCCTGAGGCGGGGGCTGAGCACACGGGGGGCTGGTCCGCAGGGATCGGGGCCCTGAGGGGCTGAGCACATGGGGGGCTGGTCCGTGGGGATTGGGGCCCTGAGGGTCCTGAGGGGGGTCTGAGCACACGGGGGGCTGGTCTGCGGGGATCAGAGCCCTGAGGGTCCTGAGGGGGGGCTGAGCACACGGGGGGCTGGTCTCCGGGGATCAGGGCCCTGAGGGGGCTGCGTACACGGGCCAGCTCCGGGGGTGTTATGGGGGTGAACATCCCCGGTGAGGAGGGGGGCGGTCACACAGGGGGTTAAACAGGTGGGAGGGAAGGTGACACAGGGGGGCAGCAGCCCCCTATTTCCTGTGACCCACAGCTGAGAAAGGGGAAGTGCAAGTTGCTGAGCGCCCGGATTTGGGGTTTATGAAAGAAGTTGGCCTCCCACTTCTGCTTTCCCCAGAGCCCGGACGTCCCGTTCCCCCCCCCACCTCCCGTGGCTGGCGGTGACCACTGCCCCCCCCCGTGACCACTGGCCCCCCCCACACTGTGTCTGCTGCCCAGCCCGGCACCCTGGGAAAATGAAACTCAGGAGGGGAAGGGAGTTTCCATGGGGGGACGGTTGCCCCACCCTGCTGCCCTTCGGCCCATGTGCGATGGGGATGGGGCTGAGAAACCTTCCGCCCCCCCTGCCCTGGGGCTGGGGGCGGGGGTTAGGACTGGCCCAGCAGCGAATGCAGATAGGGGCCCAGTTCTGGGGAGGGTGGGGGGGCTCTTGGCCACCCCACTGGTGCGAGAGCCTCCTCCTCTGCAGCCTGGAGCTGCCTAGCTCTGCTCCCCCAAGAATGGGGGTCAGGGGCCCGGGGGCACCCCGTGGCTTGCAAGGGGGATTGAAGAGGAATCCGGACTCCTGCAGGCAGGGGTGGGGGCACCCCAGACAGGGCCCCGCCCCCACTAATGCCCCTGCTGTCTCCCCCAGGCCGTGCGCACAGACCCGGACCTCAGCACCGTCCCCGCCGAGGCCATGTACAACCAGAACCTCAACGTGCCGCCCTTCCGCCACCTCATCCAGGGGCTGGCGCCCTTCGCCTCCTACCACGTCCGCGTGGCCTGCCGCAGCGGGGCTGGTGCCTCCCGCTGGACCCACTGGGTGCCCATGGAGACCCTGGAAGGGGGTGAGGGGTGTCAACAGGCCCGGGGGGGCTGAGCGGGGAGGGGAGTGGGGTCTAGTGGTTAGAGCAGGGGGCTGGAAGCCAGGACTCCTGGGTTCTGTCCCCGGCTCTGCGAGGGGAGTGGGGTCTAGTGGTTAGAGCAGGGGAGGCTGGGAGCCAGGACTCCTGGGTTCTGTCCCCGGCTCTGGGAGGGGAGTGGGGTCTAGTGGTTAGAGCAGGGGAGGCTGGGAGCCAGGACGCCTGGGTTCTGTCCCCGGCTCTGGGAGGGGAGTGGGGTCTAGTGGTTAGAGCACGGGGGCTGGAAGCCAGGACTCCTGGGTTCTGTCCCCGGCTCTGCGAGGGGAGTGGGGTCTAGTGGTTAGAGCACGGGGGCTGGAAGCCAGGACTCCTGGGTTCTGTTCCCGGCTCTGCGAGGGGAGTGGTGTCTAGTGGTTAGTGCATTTTGAACCACCCTGCCCAGGGCCCTGGTGCCAGCTGGGCATTTGCTGACTCATTACATGGCATCACCATGACTAAGTGCCCGGTTCCCCGGTGTCCTGGATTCCTGGGTCCCCGCTGGGGCAGGATGGAGCAGGGGGGCTCTCCTGGCCCCCCAAGGCCACTCCACGTGTCAGGGCGGAGGCGGGCTGGGCTGAGGAATGTTTTGCTCCGATACGGGGCTTTGCACGGTGCCAAGATAGACACGGGGGCAGGGCCGGGGGGGGCTCTGTTCCCATGGGGGGGAGGGGAATCGGCATGTGCCCAGTGCTGCATGGGGGAGTTCTGCTCCAGGGCAGGGCCCTGCTCCCGCCAGGGGACAGGCCTGGAGAGGGGCAGCCCGCGAGTGATGAGTCTGTGCCCCCCGGCAGCGCCCCACGACCCCCCGGAGAATGTCACGGCCTTCCAGAACGGCACCCGCGCCACGGTACAGTGGCTGGAGCCCCGCGGGCCGCTGGGCGGGATCCTGCGTGGGTACAAGCTGGCCTATCAGAGCCCCGATTCAGCCGAGGTGAGCTCGCCCCTGGCCCGGGACCCCAGCTGTGGGGCACAGGGGGCTCCCCCAGCCCTTGGCCTGCCTGCTGGGGCCACGCAGCATTGGAGAACCCACCAGCTCACCACCACCCCCTAAGCTAGGCCCCTACCGCAATCCCGGCCCCCTTGCCGCAGCCAGAACCCCACGCTGGGGCCGGATTTGGGCTGGAGCCCCCTGGAGAGGACAGGCCCCCTGCCCCATGCCCTGCCCCCCTTAGCCAGCCAGTCCCTGCCCTGGGGCCAGATGGGAACCAGCACCCCCTAGAGGGGACAGGCCCCCTGCCCCATTCCCTGCCCCCCTAAATTGGCCAATCCCTGGGGCCAGCGCCCCCTAGAGGGGAAAGCCCGGTGTCCCAGCCCTGGCTAACCCCGCTCCCTGGCAGGTGGTGGTGGATGTGGGGCTGACCACCGAGAAGACCCTGGAGCTGGTCTCGGAGGTGCAGAACCTGACGGTGCGGGTGGCGTCGTACACCAGCGCCGGGGACGGGCCCTGGAGCGACTCCGTCATGGTCTCCCCGTCCTGTGAGTGCGGGGGGGCTGGGCCGGGTGGGGGACCGGCCCACGGGGTGGGGCTCTCCAACGGGGTAACCTGGGGGTGGTGCTGACGCTCGCGAACCCAGGGATGGCTCTGGTCCAGGTCCTGCCCTCAGCCCATTTCCAGGGACAGGTCTAATCCGGGTACTGTAGTTCTGAACTCAGTCTCCCGGCACCGATCCAGGTCCCATGGTTCTGAACTCAGTCCCCCGGCTCTGATCTGGATCCCGTGGTTCTGAACTGGGTCTCCCGGCGCCGATCCAGGTCCCATGGTTCTGAACTCAGTCCCCCGGCTCTGATCTGGATCCCGTGGTTCTGAACTGGGTCTCCCGGCGCCGATCCAGGTCCCATGGTTCTGAACTGGGTCCCCCGGCTCTGATCTGGATCCCGTGGTTCTGAACTGGGTCTCCCGGCGCCGATCCAGGTCCCATGGTTCTGAACTGGGTCCCCCGGCTCTGATCCGGATCCCGTGATTCTGAACTGGGTCTCCCGGCGCCGATCCGGGTATTGTAGTTCTGAACTCAGTCCCCCAGCACCAATCCGGATCCCGTGGTTCTGAACTGGGTCCCTTGGCTCTGATCCGGATCCCGTGGTTCTGAACTGGGTCCCCCTGCGCCGATCTGGGTCCCATGGTTCTGTGTTGGTGCAGTTTCTTGCTACCAGCAGTGGCTTTGATTTCTCGCAAACCCAGAACCAAGGCCGGTTCCGATCCAGGTCCCATTTCTGGCTCAAAAGCCCCTGGACCTGCTGGTTGGGCGACTTATTGCACCAGCCCCTAAACTTGTCCCCCCCAACCTGCTCCCCATGGCTAAGAGCGCCTCTCTTCTCTCTCCCCTCTGCAGATCTGCTCGCCCCACAGACCCAGCGAGGTGAGGAGCCCCCCATCCCTCTGCCCACCCCCACCCCCTCACTCTGCCCTGACCCCTAGCCCCCCTCCCCTCTGCCCACCCCCCCACTCTGCCCTGCCCCCTCTACCCCCTCTACAGCACTGCCCCCCCAGTCCTGCAGGACGTTGGGGTCAGATCTCACAGGGATCTGTGAGGATCCGGTGCTGGGGGGAGGCACCTGACAGGGGCCAATTCTCCCCACCTGGGGTGCAGCCCCTCAAGTGACACGGCCCTGCCCCCTTCAGGGAGGGGGTGTTCAGTCTGGTGGAGCTGGGGGGGTGGGGAGCCCAGGGAGAGCCTGGTTCCCGGGCGGGTCTGTGGCCAGGGCTGGGGCAGATCCACGGGGGGCACCGTGCTGCCCGCCCCCCACCCAGCTAACCCTCCCCCTTGGCCCTGCAGTGAGGGAGAACGCGACCCCCGCCTTCTCGTGGCACTGGTGGGCCGTGATCCTGGCCGTGGGCCTGGCCGTGGCCTTCGCCGTCTTCTTCGTCCTCATCCTGGCCCGGCTGCGCAAGAAGGAGACGCGGTTCGGGTGAGCAGGGGGCGGATCGGGGGCTGGGAGTGGGTGGGTGGGGAAGGGGGCAGGGGGCCTTTCTCCTCTATGGGGCTCACGGGGTCCCCGGGCGATGCTCTGGAACTGCTCCCCACGAAGCCAGGCAGGACTCTGGGGGAGTCTCCTCTCGGGGAGCAGCCTGTCTTTAGGACACACAGCTCCCCCGGCTCCACCTTCCTGGCTCTGACCTCGGAGCATTCAGCCTCCTCTGCCCCTCCGTGCGCTTCCCACAGCGAGTCCGCCCAGGCGGGGTCTTGGGGAAGCCAGAGGGTCCTGCCCCCCAGCTCCGCAGTCAGACGGGACTCTCAGCCAGCCAGTAAAACAGAAGGTTTATTAGACGACAGGAACATGGTCTGACACAGAGCTTGCAGGTGCAGAGAACGGGACCCCTCAGCCGGGTCCATTTTGGGGGGCAGTGAGCCAGACAACCCCGTCTGCCCTTCACTCCATGTCCCAGCCAGCCCCAAACTGAAAACCCCCTCCAGCCCCTCCTCCTCTGGGCTTTGTTCCTTTCCCGGGCCAGGTGGTCACCTGATTCCTTTGTTCTCCAACCCTTCAGCTCTCACCTTGCAGGGGAGAAGGGCCCAGGCCATCCGTGGCCAGGAAACAGGGTGTCGGCCATTCTCTGTGTCCAGACCCCTGCACACACCTGCCCTCTAGGGCTCTGCAATGATCACACACCCTTATCCCACCCCCTAGAGTGGTGGGGAATAGGGCATGGGGCCTTTCCCCTCTAGGGGGTGCTGGCCTCAATCTGACCCCAGCGCAGGGACTGGCTGGCTTGGGTGTCCGGATGTTGCCGGCTGGGGGGTCTCTCTCACCGGCTGTTGCCCCCCACGCAGGGAGGCCTTTGAGCCCCACGTGGAGCGGGGCGAGCTGGTGGTACATTACCGTGTCCGCAAGTCGTACAGCCGCAGGACCACCGAGGCCACGCGTGAGTACCCTGCCCGCCGCGCCCCGCCCCCCCCCCCGCCCCGCCCACGGCTCCCCACACACTCCAGGACCTCACAGTCAACCTGTGGCCAGCCCCCCAGCCAGGCTGGTCCCGGCTGCCCCCATCCTCCTCAGGACATCTCCCGAGAGAGCATGGGCCAGAGACTGGGCCCCACGCGACTCCTGACACCTGGGTTCCCATCCTGGTTTTGCTGCTGGCTGGCACGCTGCCCCTGGGCCAGTCCCTGGCCCCCTCCAGGCCTCCTTCCCCTCCCGGCCCCGGTATCAGACTGAGAGCCTGATCTTGGCTGGGGTCTGGGCAGCGCCCAGCACGACGGGGCCCTGATCTCGGTCGGGGTCTGGGCAGCGCCCGGCGTGACAGGGCCTGATCTCGGTCGGGGTCTGGGCAGCGCCCAGCACGATGGGGCCCTGATCTCAGCCGGGGTCTGGGCAGCGCCCGGTGCAACGGGGCCCTGATCTCGGTCGGGGTCTGGGCAGCGCCCGGGAGACGGGGCCCTGATCTCGGTCGGGGTCTGGGCAGTGCCCGGCGCGACGGGGCCCTGATCTCGGTTGGGGTCTGGGCAGCGCCCAGCGCAACGGGGCCTGATCTCGGTCGGGGTCTGGGCAGCGCCCAGCGCAACGGGGCCTGATCTCGGTCGGGGTCTGGGCAGCGCCCGGTGCGACGGGGCCCTGATCTCGGTCAGGGTCTGGGCAGCGCCCGGTGCGACGGGGCCCTGATCTCGGTCGGGGTCTGGGCAGCGCCCGGCGTGACAGGGCCTGATCTCGGTCGGGGTCTGGGCAGCGCCCGGCGTGACAGGGCCTGATCTCGGTCGGGGTCTGGGCAGCGCCCGGCGCGACGGGGCCTGATCTCGGTCGGGGTCTGGGCAGCGCCCGGCGCGACGGGGCCTGATCTCGGTTGGGGTCTGGGCAGCGCCCGGCGCGACGGGGCCTGATCTCGGTCGGGGTCTGGGCAGCGCCCAGCGCGACGGGGCCTGATTTCGGTCGGGGTCTGGGCAGCGCCCGGTGCGACAGGGCCTGATCTCGGTCGGGGTCTGGGCAACGCCCGGTGCAACAGGGCCTGATCTCGGTCAGGGTCTGGGCAGTGCCCGGCGCGACGGGGCCTGATCTCGGCTGGGGTCTGGGCAACGCCCGGTGCGACGGAGCCCTGATCTCGGCTGGGGTCTGGGCAGCACCCGGCCTGACGGAGCCCTGATCTCGGCTGGGGTCTGTGCCCCACTCTTACTGCCCCAGAGTCTGACCCCTTGTCCCCGCCTTTGCGCCGCAGTGAACAGCCTGGGGATCAGTGAGGACCTGAAGGAGAAGCTACGGGACGTGATGGTGGATCGGCACAAAGTGGCTCTGGGGAAGACCCTGGGTGAAGGTAGGTGGCCTGCACCCAATGCTGGAGGGCAGCAATGCATTGTGCTACCCCCTGATGGGGTTGGCGGGTTCCTCCCCACGCGGCCCAGGGAGCCAGGCCAGCGGGGTGCTGGGGGCTGCATGTTCCCAGCGCGGGGAGCTGTGGGGCCGTGGCCAGGCCAGGTTCCCCACGCGCCGCCGACGTGGCCAGGGAGCTCCGGCTTTGGAAAGTCGAGGACCCGGCTGGAAAAGCCCCTGGCTCGCGGCCCAGCGCTGCCGGTGTTTCCAGTCCCCGCCCCGGCCCGATTCCACAGCCCCGTCCAGCTCCCGGCTTGGCAGGGAGATTTTCCCCAAGCTGCTCCCTCCCCACGGAGCGGATTTAACCCTTTCCGGGCACATTTCCCTCCTGCTCTTGGCACTGAGATCTGGGGGGCAGCTGAGGCTGGTGGAAGTGGGGGTCTGCCTGTCAATTTCCCCACAGAGGTGCAAGGCCCCCCCCCAAGGCAGGGCCCCTGCAGCCCCCAGGTAGGCATGCAGCTGGTCCCTGTCCCACCACGTTAAGGGGTGCCCGCCGCCCCGCCTGGCGCAGCCAGGATCAGCCACGGGAAGGCTGCGTCCATGTGCGCAGGGGCCGTGCCAGGCTGACGGCGTCGTGCCAGGCAGCTGGGAAAGCCATTCCCATCCCAGCCCCCTGGCTTCCTGTCCCCTTGGGAGCCTGCCACCCGCCATCCCCAGCCAAGCCGACGCCCAAGCACTCGAGTTCTGTCCTGCCCCCCGGGCCTGGCTCCCAGCTTCCTCATCCAGCCCCGCACTGGGCGTCGAGGGGCTCTAAGCCCGCAGGACACCCCCATGTGTTGGGCCTCCGGTGTCACTTACAGCAGCCTCTGGGCTCCTCTAACTCGCACACCACCCCACGGGCCCTGGGGGGCTGGGAATAGCCGCAGCACAGCGTGCTCTGGCTACGCCCCTATTTGCCCCTGGCTTGGAGTGGGGCCCTTATTCCCAGCTCTGCACCAGCCGGGTGGCCCCTACTCGGGGCGGGGGGGATTCTCAGGAGGGGCCCGCGCATCGCTGAGACTCAGGCCCCAGAGGCAGCAGCGTGCGGGGTGGTGGGATTTTAGTCCCTGCTGCTGAGCCAGCAGGGGGCGCTGCGAGCAATGGGGGCCCTGGGAGCTCAACAACCTGCGGGGTAAGAACCCCCTATTGTGCTGAATGGGGGGGTGCGCTGCTGGGTGTGCGCACTGCCGGGGGGTGCGTGTGTGCACTGCCGGGTGTGTCTCTGTGCACAAGCTGCTGCCCCCTGCTGGCTGCCCGGCGGATGGCTGTGCTGTGTGTCCCAGCCCCCGCACTGCCGGGGATCTCACAGCCCGTCTGCCTCCGGCTTCCCCAGGCGAGTTCGGCTCCGTCATGGAAGGGCAGCTCAACCAGGACGACAGCGTCCTCAAGGTGGCCGTCAAGACCATGAAGAGTAAGTGTCTGGCAGGCGCCTGGGGGTCTGGCGAGTCCCTTCCCCCCAGAACCTCCCTCTTGTTGCACCCCTAATGGGCCCTCCTGCCCCCGCCACCTCCCCAGGGTCCCCTCCCCTCCCCTGCGGCTCTGCCCTGGTGCCCGCGGCTCTGGCGTCACCCCCCATCCCGTGTCCCCCGCAGTCGCCATCTGCACCCGCAGCGAGATGGAGGATTTCCTGAGCGAGGCCGTCTGCATGAAGGAGTTCGACCACCCCAACGTCATGAAGCTGCTGGGTGAGAGCCCCCCGCCTGGGCATGGCACCCACAGGGGTAACGGGGCAGGGCTTCCCGGGGGGGGCACAGCAGGGCCCATGGCACTGGCAGCCCCCAGCCCGTCACGTACGCCAGGCCGGGGTGGTGAGCGGCTGCAGCCTGGCCCTGGCGGGACGGATGGCCTGGGAAAGCAGAGAGGAAGTTGGGGGGCTGGGGCCCCGGGGCGCAGGCTGGGCTGGGGGCGGGAGGTTTCCCTGGGAAAGCAGATGTGGGAGGGAGAGACGGGAACTCAGGGCAGCCGCCCGGGGAATTGGGCCCTGGATTCCCTTCCTCGCCGTGTCACGCCTTGGCTGCACAGGGCCTGGGTTCAGGCCCTGCCTCCACCGCTGCCCCCCGGGTGACCCAGGCCGGTCCCCCGTCTCCCCAGGCCGCCCCCCAGAGCAGAGCCTGCCCCTCGTCCCACGGGGCCCATGCGGTGCCCAGCTCGGCCGGGGCTCCCGTGGCCACATGGAGCAACGGACCACCGAACCGGGGGAGGGACTCACCCACCTCCCGGAACCCAGGAGTCCGGCCCTAACCCCTACACCCCACTCCCCTCCCCAAGCTGGGGATGGAACCCAGGAGTCCTGGCTCCTAGCCCCCTCCCCCGCTGGAACCACTAGACCCCACTCCTTCCTTTTCGATTGGTATCTAACCTGCCTTGGTGGCCCTGTCCCATCTCGGGGGCTGGGATCCAGGGGGAGTCTGGGGGTGGAGAACCGGGGGAGCTGGGACCCCGGGGGTCTGGGATCCTGGGGGGCAGGTATTTGAGGGGGCTGGGATCTGGGGGGGCTGGGACCCCTGGGGGCGGGTCTCACGGCCGCTCTGCTCCCTCTCGGCAGGGGTGTGTCTGCAGAGCACGGAGAGCGAGGGCTGCCCCTGGCCCGTGGTCATCCTGCCCTTCATGAAACACGGCGACCTGCACAGCTTCCTGCTCTACTCCCGGCTCGGGGAGAGCCCCGTGGTGAGTGTGGGCCCCCGGCCCCACGCGCTGCCCAGCCCCACGCGCCGGCTCCCGGCCCCACGCGCCGGCTCCCGGCCCCACGCGCTGCCCAGCCCTACGCGCCGGCTCCCGATCCCACGCGCTGCCCAGCCCCACGCGCCGCCGCCCGGCCCCACGCGACGGCTCCCGGCCCCACACGCCGCTGCCCTGCCCCACGCGCCACCTCCCGGCCCCACACGACGCCGGCCCGGCCCCACGCACGGCCTCCCTTCCCCACACGCTGCCTCCCTGTCCTACGCGCCGCCTCCCCAGCCCCAGCCGCCGCCCTGGCCCCAGGAGCCGCGGGCCATGTGGGGGATGCGGCGGGGACCCGGCTCGGGGAGAGCCCCCGGCCCGGGCACTGACCGGCTCGTCTCCCCCAGTACCTGCCCACCCAGACGCTGGTGCGGTTCATGGCCGACATCGCCAGCGGGATGGACTATCTCAGCAGCCGGAACTTCATCCACCGGGACCTGGCCGCCCGCAACTGCATGTGAGAGACGCGGGGGGGTCGCCCCCCCGGCCGGCGGCCCCAGGGACAGCTCTGCACTCGGGGCACCCCATGGGGAGCCTGGCCCGCCCCCACCCCCCAGTGCCCTCCTCCCCGGCCCCCCCAGGGTCCCATTTCCCCCCTCCTACCTCCCCCCAGGCCTGCCCCTCCTCCCCCGGCCCCCCCAGGGTCCCATTTCCCCCTCCTGCCCCCCAGGCCTGCCCCTCCTCCCCCAGCCCCCCCAGGGTCCCATTTCCCCCCTCCTACCTCCCCCCAGGCCTGCCCCTCCTCCCCCAGCCCCCCCAGGGTCCCATTCCCCCTTCTGCCTCCCCCAGGCCTGCCCCTCCTCCCCCAGCCCCCCCCAGGGTCCCATTCCCCCTTCTGCCTCCCCCAGGCCTGCCCCTCCTCCCCCAGCCCCCCCAGGGTCCCATTCCCCCCTTCTGCCTCCCCCAGGCCTGCCCCTCCTCCCCCAGCCCCCCCAGGGTCCCATTCCCCCCTTCTGCCTCCCCCAGGCCTGCCCCTCATGACCTGGCCCCCTCAGGGTCCCAGCCCCTCTCTTCCCCCGGCAGCCCCAGGGTCCCAATCCCCCTCCCACCCACCCCTGGCCAGCCCCTTCTCCCCCAGCCCCCAAGGACCCCCCTCACCGGGCCCCATGCTCCCCGCAGGCTGAACGAGAACATGAACGTCTGCGTGGCCGACTTCGGCCTGTCCAAGAAGATCTACAGTGGGGACTATTACCGCCAGGGCCGCATCGCCAAGATGCCCGTCAAGTGGATCGCCATCGAGAGCCTGGCCGACCGCGTCTACACCACCAGGAGTGACGTGGTGAGCCGGGGGCGGCGCGGCTACGGACCCCTCCTGCCCGGCCACCGACCCCTCCTGCCTGGCCATGACCCCTCCTGCCTGGCCACCGACCCCTCCTGGTGCAGCCATGGACCCCTCCTGGCGCGGCTATGGACCCCTCCTGCCCGGCCACCGACCCCTCCTGCCCGGCCACCGACCCCTCCTGCCTGGCCACGACCCCTCCCGGTGCAGCCACAGACCCCTCCTGGCGCGGCTACGGACCCCTCCTGCCCGGCCACCGACCCCTCCTGGCCCAGCCACCGACCCCTCCTGCCTGGCCACCGACCCCTCCTGGTGCAGCCATGGACCCCTCCTGGCGCGGCTACGGACCCCTCCTGCCCGGCCACCGACCCCCTCCTGCCTGGCCACCGACCCCTCCTGGTGCAGCCATGGACCCCTCCTGGCGCGGCTATGGACCCCTCCCTGCCCGGCCACCGACCCCTCCTGCCCGGCCACCGACCCCTCCTGCCTGGCCACGACCCCCTCCCGGTGCAGCCACAGACCCCTCCTGGCGCGGCTACGGACCCCTCCCTGCCCGGCCACCGACCCCTCCTGGCCCAGCCACCGACCCCTCCTGCCTGGCCACCGACCCCTCCTGGTGCAGCCATGGACCCCTCCTGGCGCGGCTACGGACCCCTCCCTGCCCGGCCACCGACCCCTCCTGCCTGGCCACCGACCCCTCCTGGTGCAGCCATGGACCCCTCCTGGCGCGGCTATGGACCCCTCCTGCCCGGCCACCGACCCCTCCTGCCCGGCCACCGACCCCTCCTGCCTGGCCACCGACCCCTCCCTGCCTGGCCACGACCCCTCCTGGCGCGGCTACGGACCCCTCCTGCCCGGCCACCGACCCCTCCTGGCCCAGCCACCGACCCCTCCTGCCTGGCCACCGACCCCTCCTGGTGCAGCCATGGACCCCTCCTGGCGCGGCTATGGACCCCTCCTGCCCGGCCACCGACCCCTCCTGCCCGGCCACCGACCCCTCCTGCCTGGCCACGACCCCTCCCGGTGCAGCCACAGACCCCTCCTGGCGCGGCTACGGACCCCTCCTGCCCGGCCACCGACCCCTCCTGGCCCAGCCACCGACCCCTCCTGCCTGGCCACCGACCCCTCCTGGTGCAGCCATGGACCCCTCCTGGCGCGGCTACGGACCCCTCCTGCCCGGCCACCGACCCCTCCTGGCCCAGCCACCAACCCCTCCTGCCGGCCACCGACCCCTCCTGCCGCAGCCCATGCCAGCGCTCACGCTCTCCTCCCGCAGTGGTCGTTCGGGGTCACCATGTGGGAGATCGCCACGCGGGGGCAGACGCCGTACCCGGGCGTGGAGAACAGCGAGATCTACGACTACCTGCGCCAAGGGCATCGCCTCAAGCAGCCCCTCGACTGCCTGGACGGGCTGTAAGGGCACCCGCCCCCCGGGACCCCCTGGCTCCCCCCAGGACCTCCCAGCATGCCATGGGGCCACCCTCTGAGGCCCCTCCGGGACCCTCCCAGTGCCCCAGGACCGCCCAGCATGCCATGGGGCCACCCCCTGCAGTCCCCTGGGACCCTCCCAGTCCCCCAGGACCTCTCAGCATGCCATGGGCCACCCCCAACCCAGGGACTTGCCTCCAGGCGTTCCCAGCATGCTGCATCTCAGCCCCCGCCGAGGGATCGCTGTATCACCCCCCTCCCGCAGCCCACCCCAGAGATGGCTGTATCTCTGTGCCGGGCGAGGGGACCCCCGTATAGCCAGCCTCCCCCCCCGTGCCCCGCCCCAAAGGTGGCTGCGTCTCTGCACCGAGCAAGGGGACCCCCGTATAGCCAGCCCCCCCGTGCCCCGCCCCAGAGGGGCCACATCCCCATAGGCTGTGGGGCGAACGCAGCCCCCTGTTCATCACTGCCCCTCTCCCCAGGTACCAGCTGATGAGCAGCTGCTGGGCCCTGCACCCCAAGGAGCGCCCCAGCTTCAAGGAGCTGCACGGGGAGCTGGAGAAGACCCTGCTGAGTCTCCCCCCCACCCAGGGCCCTGAGGAGATCCTCTACGTCAACATGGAGGACGGGGGCGCGGAGCGGGGCGCCGTGGGGGGGCTGGGCCCCCAGCAGCCGGCCAAGGAGCAGCTGCTTCCAAAGGGGGCCGTGGCGGCCCAGGTGCACCGGGCTGAGGGGGCGGGACGGTATGTGCTGTGCCCCGCCCCCCCCGAGAGCGGCCGGCGGCCGGGCGACCCCCCCGCCTCCCCCACGCCCTGCGCTGCCTCCGAGGAGGGGGCCTGAGGGGGGGCTGATCCCCAAGGGGCCCCGATCCCCGTCTCTCTGGCAGGGCTGGGCAGCCTATGGTGATGGGCAGGAGACCCACCCTCTACCAGCTGCCCCCATCTCCTGTCTGACCCCCCCAACCCTGGACCCCCACCCCTCATCTCCTGTCTGACCCACCCCCCTGATCCTGGGCCTCTGCCCCCCATCTCCTGTCTGACCCCCGCACTGACCCTGGGCCCCCACCCCTCACCTCCTGTCTGACCCCCCAATCTTGGGCCCGCGCCCCCCCACCCAACTCCATTCCCCAACAGTTCCTCCCCCAACATCGCCTGTTCCCACCGCCCCTTCCACCCCCAGCAATGGAACCCGACCCCCAAACCATCTTCCCGAATCCCTCCCACCCCTCCCTACCTGCACCCAGCCCCCCCACTCCCCAACTCCAGTCCCCCAGCTCCTCCCCACCCACAGCGAGACCTTCCCTCCCAGCCCCCTTTGCCATGAGGTGGGGCTGGAGCGTGGCCGGTCTCCCTGCCGAGCCCAGGCCTGGCTGCCCCCCATGGGAGGGACGCCGATTGCCCCCTGCCCCGCAGCCTGCTGGGACAGAGACACTTGGGGTGAGCAGGGGGCTGCCAGGCCTGGGCGGGGCAGGAAAAGGGACTGGCTGGGCCACTGCCCCCCCCCCTGGCCCAGCCCCCCCATTTCCCCTCCAGCTGTTTCACTGCCATAGGGTGGGGCAGGGCCCCTGCCCCTCACCAGGCCGGGACAACCAGGAAGAGGGCGACGCCGGGACAGGACCAGGCCCTCGGGGCCGGACCGAGGTCGCCCCGCGCCGGGGAATGGAGCAGGGGGTGACCCCCAGCGCCGGCCGCACCAGTGGGAGCTCGCAGGAGCCACCAGGCACCCGGCCACCGACTCCCCCGGGCTGGTCCGACGGAGCCGGCGCCATGCGCAGAGCGTCGCGGGAAGAGAGTCACGGCGTGGGGCCGGCTCCCAGCGCCCTGGGGCCGAGCCGCCCCCTGGATGCTGCTGGCCTCTGGAGCCCGGCTCCCCTCCGGGGGGGCCTCGCGTGGGGCCCCTGTCAGGTCCTGCGTCGCTCCGGAGCTTCGGACCCAGCTGGCAGCTCTGCAGACGCGGCCCCCACCCCGGCCGGCGCCCAGGGTCGCAACGAACCCTGCCGGCGAGCTCAGCAAAGGGCCGCGGGGCCGGGGCGGGTTTGCCGTGGCCAAAGCCCTGGGCGAGGCCGGGCCACCCCCGCGCGGGGCCAGGGACTCGGGGCTGAGGCAGGAGAACTATCTCCCCCCGGCCCGGGTTCGAGACAAAGCCACTTTTGCACTATTGTCCGTGCTGGGCCGGGCGCGCTCCAGGCTGAGCCACTGCCGACCGGCTCCGGGTTCGAATCCCTCGTGCCGTGGAGCCGCCCGGACTCGATGCAGCCGGCAGCTCCAGCTGGCCCAGGGCGGCCTGTGAGCTCCGTCCGGCTGGGGGGCCTCCAGGGGCTCACGTCGGTGCTGCTGTGGGTCCACGAGTGCCGTGGGGCTCCCCACGGAAAGGGGGCGCAGTGTGGACATGGCAGATACCAGGCCCCGGCTTGCGCCCACCATCAGCTGTCAGGCTGGCGTGAAACCCACCGAGGCCAAGAGCTTCCCGGGGCCGCGCCCGCCGTCAGCTCCCACGGGGCGCCCGGCTCCGGCTTGGGGGCTGCAGGGAATTCGGCCTTCGTTAGCCCCCCCGGATGCAAACGCCGCATGTGCCGGCTCATCCGGCCTGCGTGCCCCTGGCACCGTCGGCCCCAGCGCTGCCCCCAAGCGCCCGGCAGCAAACCCGGGCCGGCCGGGGTCCGGGGCGAGGGACGCGGCCCGTCTGCGGAGCGGAGCCGTTTACGGAAATGTACATACTTTGTTTACACGCTGTATATGGACCGGCTGCTCCGGTGTGTAACGCACCCGCTGCCCTGTCGGGGCGCGAGCCGGGCGAGAGCGTTCGGCCACAGCCCTGCTTATAAATAAACGCTTCCTCCAAGAGACGGCCCAGTGAGCAGCTTTCATTTCCGCTTCAGAGCCTTCAGCAGGGGAGCGGGGGCTAGTGTTGAGAGCAGGGGGCTGGGAGCCAGGACGCCTGGGTTCTATCCCAGCGCGGGGGCGGGGGTCTGGCTCTGTCACTGACTTGCCACCCGGAGCCAGGCAGGTCCCGTCTCTCTGTGCCCCTGTATCGGGGCCGCCCCAGCCTTGCGCGCGGCAGGCGGGGGGATTAACGGGCCCGTCCGGCGCTGGGCAAGTGGCCAGAGGCTGCAGCCTGAGCCGACCCCGCAGAGCAAGGGCTGGTCCCCCAGGGCGAACGGGGCCCAGGACGGGGGGCTGGTCCCCCAGGGCAAACGGGGCCCAGAACGCGGGACTGGTGCCAGGGCAAACGGGGCCCAGGACGGGGGGCTGGTCCCCCAGGGCGAACGGGGCCCAGGACGGGGGGCTGGTCCCCAGGGTGAATGGGCCCAAGACAGGGGACTGGTCCCCCAGGGCGAACGGGGCCCAGGATGGGGGACTAGTGCCAGGGCGAATGGGGCCCAGGACGGGGGACTGGTCCCCCAGGGTGAATGGGCCCAAGACAGGGGACTGGTCCCCCAGGGCGAACGGGGCCCAGGATGGGGGACTAGTGCCAGGGCGAATGGGGCCCAGGACGGGGGACTGGTCCCCCAGGGCGAATGGGGCCCAGGACGCGGGACTGGTGCCAGGGCAAACGGGGCCCAGGACGGGGGGCTGGTCCCCCAGGGCGAACGGTGCCCAGGACGGGGGGCTGGTCCCCCAGGGCGAACGGGGCCCAGGATGGGGGACTAGTGCCAGGGCGAATGGGGCCCAGGACGGGGGACTGGTCCCCCAGGGCGAATGGGGCCCAGGACGCGGGACTGGTGCCAGGGCAAACGGGGCCCAGGACGGGGGGCTGGTCCCCCAGGGCGAACGGGGCCCAGGACGGGGGGCTGGTCCCCCAGGGCGAACGGGGCCCAGGATGGGGGACTAGTGCCAGGGCGAATGGGGCCCAGGACGGGGGACTGGTCCCCCAGGGCGAATGGGGCCCAGGACGCGGGACTGGTGCCAGGGCAAACGGGGCCCAGGACGGGGGGCTGGTCCCCCAGGGCGAACGGGGCCCAGGACGGGGGGCTGGTCCCCCAGGGCGAACGGGGCCCAGGATGGGGGACTAGTGCCAGGGCGAATGGGGCCCAGGACGGGGGACTGGTCCCCCAGGGCGAATGGGGCCCAGGACGTGGGACTGGTGCCAGGGCAAACGGGGCCCAGGACGGGGGGCTGGTCCCCCAGGGCGAACGGGGCCCAGGACGGGGGGCTGGTCCCCCAGGGCGAACGGGGCCCAGGACGGGGGGGGGCTGGTCCCCCAGGGCGAACGGGGCCCAGGACGGGGGGGGGCTGGTCCCCCAGGGCGAACGGGGCCCAGGACGGGGGGCTGGTCCCCCAGGGCGAACGGGGCCCAGGACGGGGGGGGGCTGGTCCCCCAGGGCGAACGGGGCCCAGGACGGGGGGGGCTGGTCCCCCAGGGCGAACGGGGCCCAGGACGCGGGACTGGTGCCAGGGCGAACGGGGCCCAGGACGGGGGGCTGGTCCCCCAGGGTGAACGGGGCCCAGGACGGGGGGGGCTGGTCCCCCGGGGCGAACGGGGCCCAGGACAGGGGGCTGGTCCCCCAGGGCAAACGGGGCCCAGGACGGGGGGTGCTGGTCCCCCGCGGCGAACGGGGCCCAAGATGGGGGGGCTGGTGCCCCAGGGCGAACGGGGGGGGCGGCGAGGTGGGGGAGCTAGAGCAGGCTCCAGTGTGTCCGTCCGTCCGTCTGTCTGTGCGGGGGGTGGGGGGGAGCCTTGCTGTGAGTATCCTCTTAGCAAAGCATGCTGGGAGTGGGAGGAGCTTCTGGGGCTATAAAACACAGGCCCCTCCGACCCCTGCCTAGATTCAGTGTGAGGGGAGCAGTTGGGGGCTCTGTGGGGTCTGGTGCCAGCAGCCCCACCCTGCCATGGGCCCTGCACTGCCCCAGCCCCACGGGAGCAGGGGGGAGGGGCTCAGCACAGCTGGTTCGGTTCTGCCGCGTGGGTCGGGCCCACGGCTGGTGCAAAGTGGGGTGGTTCTGGTGTCAGTTGAGTGATGCTCCACACAGCCCCCCCAGGGGCGTTCCTCCCCCCAGCCCTGCCGGTGCCCCTCGCTCCCGACCGCAGCCCCCCAGGGGCGTTCCTCCCCCCAGCCCTGCCGGTGCCCCTCGCTCCCGACCGCAGCCCCCCAGGGGCGTTCCTCCCCCCAGCCCTGCCGGTGCCCCTCGCTCCCGACCGCAGCCCCCCAGGGGCGTTCCTCCCCCCAGCCCTGCCGGTGCCCCTCGCTCCCGACCGCAGCCCCCCAGGGGCGTTCCTCCCCCCAGCCCTGCCGGTGCCCCTCGCTCCCGACCCGCAGCCCCCCCAGGGGCGTTCCTCCCCCCCCTGCCGGCCCTCCTCCCACCGCCCCCCCCCCGGGGCCCCCCCCCCCACCCTGCCGGTGCCCCTCGCTCCCGACCCGCAGCCCCCCAGGGGCGTTCCTCCCCCCAGCCCTGCCGGTGCCCCTCGCTCCCGACCGCAGCCCCCCAGGGGCGTTCCTCCCCCCCCTCCTCCCCACGCCCTGCCGGTGCCCCTCGCTCCCGACCGCAGCCCCCCAGGGGCGTTCCTCCCCCCAGCCCTGCCGGTGCCCCTCGCTCCCGACCCGCAGCCCCCCAGGGGCGTTCCTCCCCCCAGCCCTGCCGGTGCCCCTCGCTCCCGACCGCAGCCCCCCAGGGGCGTTCCTCCCCCCAGCCCTGCCGGTGCCCCTCGCTCCCGACCCGCAGCCCCCCAGGGGCGTTCCTCCCCCAGCCCAGCCGGTGCCCCTCGCTCCCGACCCGCAGCCCCCCAGGGGCGTTCCTCCCCCCAGCCCTGCCGGTGCCCCTCGCTCCCGACCCGCAGCCCCCCAGGGGCGTTCCTCCCCCCAGCCCTGCCGGTGCCCCTCGCTCCCGACCCGCAGCCCCCTGCTAAGCCTGTGCCTCCGAGCGCCAGATCTCTCGGAGCCGGGGGCTCGTGGCCTGTTTTGCCCCAGGGAGCTGAGCCCCCGGCTCTGGAGCCCTGATCTGACGGGGGCTGGTTTCCATTTGCCACGGAGCAGGGCCCAGCCGAGAACAAAGGCTCCCCAGTACCACGCTCAGCGTTCCCCTTATCGGGGGGATTAAGCCATTCTGCAACTGGGAGGGTGGGGGCCCATCAGAGAAGGACAAACACGCCCCCCTTGCTCCGGGGGCTGTTCCGCAAACTGATACGGGGGGGGGGGGGAGGGGGTGGCAGGAATGTGCCAAGTTCCTGCTGGGTGTCCGGCACCAGGCCCCTAATCAGGGCCCAGTTACGCAACGGGATTTACAGCAATTCCCCCCATCGCCCTCCGCATCATCAGCACTGGGTTAGGTGCCCCTCACTCCTGACCCGCAGCCCCTGCTAGCCCAGCATGGGGCTCCCCACCCCCCCAGCTCCACTGGTGCCCCCCAATCCTGACCCACAGGTCCTGCTCGCCCGCTCCAGCCTTGGCTCCTTAGCACCCCCTGCAGCCCCCCCCCCCCCCCGGGTTCCCATCAGGTCACACCCAGGCCTCAGGCCTCTCTTGCTTGGGCACGAGACCCCCCCGTTAATCCCCCTGCCCCGCTATCTCGCTGGCACAGGCAGCCTGTCAATCACCGAGCTGAATGAGCAAACCTGAAACCAGCCAATTTAGGGATCAGTGTCACGTCACCTGGCTAGTGAGCAGCTATTATCGGACCGTCCCTCCGTCATGCGCCGGCCCGCGGCATCTTCCGCTGCCTATATAAAGGGCCTGGGGGCGCCGGGGGCTGACACAGCCTGGCCATGGCCACCATCGCGCTCGCCCTGTTCCTGGCGGGCTGCCCGCTCCTGCGCTGGACGGCTGCCTCTGTGAGTACCTCAGCCCACGTGCCACTTCATCAGGGTGGCCCGGAGGGGAACAGCCGCAGGGTTGAAATCCCCTGCCCGCCCTGGACACAGGTGAAATCCTGCCGGGACGGCTGGCAATTCCATCCCTGTCTGTGCTGCGTGGCCATGAAACGTCCCCTGGGTTTCCCCTCCGCCTGCCCCGATCCCCTCTGCCCTGGCCACTGCGCCCTCTGACACGCTCCTCCCCAGAGGCGGCTGCATTCCTGGGGCACTTTGCGAGGGACGTGAGATGTGACGCTCCCGTAACGGGTCCCACCTGCTCCCCCCTCGCCCCCCTTCCAGGCCGTCCAGAATCTGAGCAGCGTGATGGACGCCAGCGGTCACTGCGTCTGCACCGTCATCCTGCCCGACGACACCTTCCCCCTGCAGCGGATCGAGCTGCTGGAGACGTCGGCCCGCAACTTGACCTTCCGCGTGCAGTGGGAGATGAAGAAGGTGAGGCCGGGGAGCGGACAGGGCGGGATGAGGGGTGCTGGGGGGATCAGGGGTCTGTGAATTCCTTCCCCACCCTGGGCGAGGGCAGCGCCGGCCCTGGGGCTGGTTCCCACCGTCCCCGGTCAGGGCAGGCTACGCAAGGGGGGTTGGCAGGCTGGGGGCCCACGGAGCCGCCCTGGAGCCCGGGAGCGGCCGATCAGCCTCTGGGAGCTGCTGGGCACTCAGCCCTGGGCTGGGCTCCCCTGGGCTGGGCTGGAGCCCGCAGGCTGCGTGTGGCGCGGCTGCCCTCTGCTGGCCTGGCTCTCGGCACCGTCGTGGGGGGACGCACCTGGCCCTGGCCACCCGGCGGGCCAATTTTAGCCCACTCTTTGCCACTAGCGAATCACTCGCAAAACGAGGCCAATGTTCCTTGAGCGACCCCTGTCCCGGCTCTCCCTGCTCCCCGGGGCCCTCAGCTCCCAGCGCCAAGGCCCGAGCCCAAGGGAACCACGAACTCCTGGGACTCGCCGGGGCCTGGACTCAGCCGCAGTGGGCATGACTCAGTCCCTGCCCTGGTCAGTCTCAGGCCTCCACCCCCCACAGCTCCAGGAGCCCTGTTGGGAGAAGGCAGCTGGACGGTTTTCGTCAGTGTGGCTAATGAAACTGACCCAGGCGTGGGAACGGACCCTTTCCCCCGAACTCCCTCCCCGGGGAATCTCGCCTCTGACTCTGTCCCAGCTCGAGAGGAATTTGGGGTTTGTTTCTTTGTTCCCCAAACTGTGAAATTTTCAGAAAAAGGGATTTCTGCTGCCCAGCTGCTGGGTGTGACTGAGATGGGTGGGGAGCTCCCCCCACATCCACCCTCAGGGGAGCAGGGTCTGCACATATGGGGCTGGCTTCTGGGCTGAGTAACACGGGTGTGAATCCAGAGTCACCCCCAACTGCAGTGGGGTCAGGGCCAGGTTCTGATCTCAGCTGCTCCAGTGTTAATCCGGAGTCACCCCTGACTGCAATGGGGTCGGGGCTGGTTCTGACCGAGGGGAGCAACACGGGTTTACACCAGATGAGGTCTGACATCCTCTCCCCACTTCGGGGTCTTTGCTTCCTCCCCCCGGCAGCTCCAGGAATATGGGCAGCGCCTGGCGTGGTACGAGGCCAAGCTGCAGAACGCCAGCCGCCGGCTGCAGCTGCTGGAGGTGGGCGACCTGACCCCCGCCGAGCTGGCCTTCCAGGAGCTGCGGAAGGAGATCGGCGAGATGGAGTCCTTCGTGGGCCACCTCCGCTCCTCCCTCAACGGGAGCGACTCCACGGTGGAGGTGGTGCACCGGGAGGTGAGCGTCACGCGGTGCCGGGGTCTGACCCCCGGGGCCTGGTGGGAAGGGCCAGGGACCCCCGGCGGGGCGGGGCTCAGATCCCGTGTGGATCAGACACAGACTGTGGGGAGTGTTCGGGGCGACCCCCAATTCCCACCTGCGCTCAGCCCCCCGGCTGGCCATGCGGCGGGGTTCCCTGCAGCATGGAGTGGCCAGAAGAACCAGCCAATTGCAAGCTGGGAAGGCCGCGTGTCACTCTCACGCCTCTTCTGCGTCCAATTGCTTCCCTTCCCGACACAGGCCACGCCCACAGGGGATAATCCATCTAAGCCCCACCCCCAGAAGAGGGTCCTGGGCCGTCCCACTCCGGAGCAGCCCCTGGCAGGGTGGGGCTGACACTATGAAGTGCCCTCGACACCGACTCCCACCCTCCTTGGGGCTGGCATGGGGCCCACTGCCAGGCCAGCCTTCCCTGGGCTTCAGCTGGGTTTGGGTCCAGCCCGCAGGAGGGAGGACTCAGCCCCTGCCTGTCCCTCCATGTGTAGGGCCCCCACCTGCCCCCACAGAGCCATGAGGTCCCCTGCACACACATGGGTCAACACCTGCTCCCAGCGACGGGCGCAGGCTCTCGGCAGACCCAGGCAGCGTCGCTGCGTCACTCACGCTCGGGGCAGCCCCCCCCCAGCGACGGGCGCAGGCTCTTGGCAGACCCAGGCAGGGTTCCTGCGTCACTCACGCTTGGGGCAGCCCCCCCCAGCGACGGGCGCAGGCTCGCGGCAGACCCAGGCAGGGTTCCTGCGTCACTCACGCTTGGGGCAGCCCCCCCCAGCGACGGGCGCAGGCTCTCGGCAGACCCAGCATCACTCACGCTCGGGGCAGCCCCCCCCAGCGACGGGCGCAGGCTCTCGGCAGACCCAGCGTCACTCACGCTCGGGGCAGCCCCCCCCAGCGACGGGCGCAGGCTCTCGGCAGACCCAGGCAGCGTCGCTGCGTCACTCACACTCGGGGCAGCCCCCCCCCAGCGACGGGCGCAGGCTCTCGGCAGACCCAGGCAGCGTCGCTGCGTCACTCACACTCGGGGCAGCCCCCCCCCAGTGACGGGCGCAGGCTCTCGGCAGACCCAGGCAGCGTCGCTGCGTCACTCACGCTCGGGGCAGCCCCCCCCAGCGACGGGCGCAGGCTCTCGGCAGACCCAGCGTCACTCACGCTCGGGGCAGCCCCCCAGCGACGGGCGCAGGCTCTCGGCAGACCCAGGCAGGGTTCCTACGTTGGTTCTGCTCAAGTCACATTTTCAAGCTTTTCCTCGCAAGCGCAAGGGCTAGAAATGTAATTTCCTCCCCCTCCACCCCCACATTCTAGTCAGGCAAAGTTACAATACAGGGTTAACCTCCGGCATGCCTGATTCATTCCTCTCCCGGGCTCAGCTCCAGGCCCAGAGAGCCTGGCTGACGATTTGGGCTTGCCAGCTGGGGAGCCCCCCTCCGCGGAGGACGCCAGACAGCGCGAGCCCGTTTCCAAACACCTGTCCGCTTTGTGGCGAGTCTCTCGTGTTCGTGCGTGGTGGGGAACCTTTGCCGGGACCAGGACGGGCCGTAGTTCGCTCCGCGGCACTTGGAAGGAGAAGTCCCGTTTCTCCGGCGATGGGCCACACAGGGTCTTGCTGCTAACGATAACGAGAAACGCATTTGTGGTGCCGTTTGCCGGAGCCTTGCGTCCGAAGGCAGGGGACCCTTGGGAGCCGGCAGGATTCTCGTAAACAATTCCCCCCCTTTCGACAGCCTCCCCGGCTCCGGTTCTTGGCCACAGACTTCTCCGTGGCCCCACGGGGCCTGCGCTGCTTTGACCCAGCTCTGCCCCCTGCCCGCAGACGTCTCTCGTACCCGCAGCCCAGCCAGACGCCGGTGAATCCCGCGCCCTGCAGCCCCCTCGCCAGGAGGCTTCGGGGCCCCGGGCACCTTGACTTCTGCCCCATATCTTGGTCTTTCAGCTGTTTGTGACTTTCTGCCGCCCGACCAACTACATCCTGCCCTTCGTCAACGTCCGGGGCAAGTCCCTCATCGACCGGCGCTGGAACTGCCCTCTCATCTACCTCCTGCGCAGGACCCAGAAGGCCCGGATGTGCGAGCTCCTGGACGCCCCGCAGTGGCGAGGCGAGCCCAAGGAGGACTACGTCATCCTGGCTCCCCGGCGCTGGGACAGGAGGTCTCACAGGAGGTCCTTTGCCTGCTGGAAGCTGCAGTGAGCCACCGGCCGGGGCAGGGTGAGGATGGGGCAGGGGGACTGGGATCCTCGCTCACCCAGAGGCTGCCCACTGCCCACCTGGAGGCCACTGGTCACCTGCACAAGGGCTCGGACGTGCCCGGAACGCTTCATCGTCACCTGCTCGCCCAGCCTGGCTCTGTGACACCCGCTCCGGAAGTCAATGAAGGGTTAATCAGTGCCAGTGATTGACAGTTGCCTCTCCCTTTGCCCCACCCCCTGGTGGGCGTGGCCTATCTTTTGGCCACGCCCCAAGGCTTGGCCCACTCTGGTGACTCTCAGGCACCCTTGCACGCCCAGCGTGACTGCAGCAATCGTGCACACAAGCTGGGCGCAGGGCGGGGAAACGTGCCCCTGAAATCCTAAACTCACCCAGGAGTCCCACGCGCTGGACGATCCGGCCCCAAGTTCTTGCCTCTCGCGGGCGACACCCAGCCGGGGCCTGGCCTCCTTCCGCCAAGGATAAACGCGGCCCCAAGCCGTCCTTCCCAGTGAAACGGCCCCTGCTCCCTTGTATTTCCCCGCATGCTCTGCCCCACCTCACCCCCCTGCCCTGCCTGCATGTCCCCTGGCGCCGTCCCAGTGTCCCGTTATTCGCTGCTAAAAAGCCGAACTGCAATAAAAACTTTTCTGCTTAACCCTCCCCCGTGGTCCCGCTGGTCGAGTTCATTTCCGAGGCTCAGGCGGGAAATATTTCAGCTGCCAGGGCAGCGACACCAAAACCCGTGCGGAATCCCAGCAAAGCCAGGTACGAAAACCAGGGACTCCCCGGAGCCCGCCACACCGGCCAGCGTGGGCTGAGCACCCGGGCAGATTTCCCGGGACAGCGACCTCCGAAAAGGGACGGTCCTGGGAACCCCTGGCCGGATGGGAACGCCGGCCACCACAGTGCCAGGGATGGCACCAGGGGGCTGAGCTGTGCAAATAACGGATATTTGGGTTCGCTGAGGAACACTTGTTTTGCGTCGAACCGAAAACGAACGGTTTTGTGCTGCTTGGTGCATCGAAAAGTGTGTGTGTGGGGGGGGGATTTATCTGGGGCCCAACGAAACATTTTGTTTGAAAACCTTTCGTTTTGCTTTGGAGCCTTTTTAAACCTCTGCTATGGGGCGTGGGGTACTTGAGATCGAAGGATGTTTCTAAACAAAGAGCCCCATTGAGACCCCCAAACTAGCACGAGTCCGGTTTGCTCGGAATTGTTTCAAGGTTGTGGGGGGGAGGGTTTCCCGACCGAAACAATTTGGTGAAACTGATGCAAATTCACAAAACATTTTGGTGTTTTGCCAAATCTGCATTTTTTTCCCTAGAAAAATTTCCTTCCCCCTCCCCCCCAGCTCAAGTGGGGATTTGGGCCATGGGCTGAGGCTTCCCCCAGCTGGGGGCTTGGCCCAGTGATGCCTTGCCATCTATTCTCCAGGCTGGGTTTCTTGGTTCCCTCTGCTTCAGAGGTGGGGGAGGAGACCAAGGCGCCTGCGAGCAAATATCTAGAGCGTGACCTGAAGTTATTGGCTAATGGACGGTGCTCGGGACACGATATTTTTGGTGACGTTTGGCTGTGTGGAAAACATGCCCCGAGCTCGGCCGCTGCCAGAGGACGTTGCTCTTGAGCGGGGGTGTCCACCGGAGCTGGATGATAAGGGTGCAGACTCCTTACTTCAGCAGCCGGCAGGGCTGGAGTTTGGGCACTCGGGGGATCCAGTGAGGGGGTGCAAGGAGTCCCCCGGAAAGGGGCGCCCAGGCCCCGTGGGGAAGGCCTGACGCTTGCCCTGTTCCTTGCAGCTCCAGAACATGTCGGTCACCGTGAGCGCCCTGGAATCCTACGACAAGAACCAGGTGGTGGCCATGAGGCGGGAGCTGACCACGCTCAAGCAGCGCCTGGAGGACTGTCAGAAGGGCAAGCCGCTGGTGGGACGGCAGCCGCCGATCGGTGAGTCGCTCCCGGGGGCTCTCGCTGGGCTGGCGTTGGAGCGGGTTCCGGGGCCCTCGAGGGGAAGCATTGCCCTGTGGTTAGGGCTCAAAGGGAGACTTCGCTCCGGTCCCGGCGCTGCCCCAGAGCCCCCCTGTGTGACCTACAAGTCACCGCGTCGCTCCCTGCCTCAGATTCCCGTCTGGGAAGTGGGGCTTGCAGCCCTGGCCAGCCCGCCGGGGAGGATGGGAGGGTAGGTCCAGGGAAGGCTGGGAGGGGCTCAGACGCTGTGGGGCTGGGGGCCAGACGGAAACAGGCGGCCGAAGACGAAGGGAGGCAGGGGAAAAAGTCAGTGAATCCAGGGCTTTCTGACATGGCTCGGGGCAGCGGGGGAGGCTGGTTTCCTCTGAATCTTTTCACCCACTGGTTGGCCTGAATCCCACTCCTGTCAGAGCTGGGGAGAGAACCCAGGAGTCCTGGCTCCCAGCCCCCCTCTGCTCTAACCACTGGACCCCGGCCCCCCACATCTAACCCTTGTGACTCCCCATCCCCCCAGGCACGTGCAACCACCAGGGGATCTGGCGCCTCAGCAAGCCCTCGGTGGTGCAGCTCAACTGGCGGGGCGCGAGCTACAAGGCCGGGGCCTGGGGCAAGGAGTCGTCCCTGCACGCCTGGCGGAAGAAGCGCTACTGGGTGGCCCCCCTGAACCTGGACGGCCGGCGGCTGGACTCGGTGCGTCTCTACCGCTCCTACCAGGACCTGCTGCTGTCCCGGAACCCCACGGACCAGCTGATCCCGGGCTTCGGGCAGGGGGCCGGGCTGGTGCTGCACAACGGCTCCTTCTACTTCAACTGCTACAACGCGCGGGACCTCTGCCGCCTGAACCTGGAGAGCGGGGCCGTGGACCGCAGGGCGGTGCCCGACGCCACCTTCAACAACCGCTTCTCCTACGCGGGCACCAGCTGGCAGGGCCTCGACCTGGCCGCGGACGAGAGCGGGCTCTGGGTGCTGCACACCACCGAGCGCAGCGAAGGCGACATCGTCATCGGCCGCCTCGGCCCCGGCTCGCTGGCCCTGGAGAAGACCTGGCAGACCTCCCAGTACAAGCCAGCGGCCACCAACACCTTCATGGTGTGCGGGGTGATGTACGCCACCCGGGCGGTCAGCACCCGGCGCGAGGAGATCTTCTACGCCTACGACACCCGCACGGGCCGGGAGAGACGCCTCAGCCTGCCGCTGGAGAAGGTGACGGATGTCGTGCAGTCGCTGAGCTACAACCCCGGCGACCACAAGCTCTACATGTACAGCGATGGCTACCTGCTTAGGTACAACGTCCTCTTCCGGCCCTAGCGCCCGGCCGTAGGGCCAGCGCCCAGCGCAGGGGGGCCTTCCGCCCTCTCCATTCCCGCCGTCCCCCCTCCGTCCCCTCTCCACCTCCTTCCCCCCCGTTCCGTTCGCCCGCAAGCTCCGCTCCACCCCTTCCCTTTCCCCTCTTCCCCCCCTTCCCTGCCCCTTGCTCCCTGGATCCTTTCGCTCCTTCCCGCCCTCTTCCCCAGCCGCTGCCCCGCTTCCTCCTCTCCCACCTCCCGCTGCGTCACTAAACAAAACCAACGTGATTTTTGTCTCTTTAACCTCCTGGCTATATCTAAGTTTGCTCAAGGGCCGAGAGGGAGATTCCCCCTCCCAGCTCCTGGGCTTTGCCTCCTTCCCCGATTGGGTTTCTGCCACCCCATGCAATGCAAGCGCGGGTGGGGTTGCGATCTCGGCTCCTGATTCCCCTTTACCCTAAATCCCCTGCCCGTGGCTGGATTGGGGTAAAGGGACCAGAACGGACAATCAGAGCTTTGAGGTTTCCGGGTCATTTGTTCTCTTGGCTTTACATTCATCCCATTGCCTCACTGGCGTTACAGCCAGGACCAGGTCGGCTCCGGGATTTGGGGGTTAGTGATTCCACTTCTCTTGAGTTTTCTGAGGCCCCATGGGAGCCTGATTTTGCCTAGAACTTCCCAGTAGTGAATAAACGTGATCATCTGACTGCAGCCCCCGTGTCTGTCGCCGCGTTTGTTGGTGTCACTCAGACCAGTAACCGATCGACCCGCCCGGGGCCGGGGCAGGGGTAGAAACGGGGGGATGGTCCCTGCCCCTCGCCTGCCCAGCGTTAAAGCCACCGGCCACCCTGCCACTGGGCGAGTGGTGCATTGATTCGTGCAGGGCTGCGTTGCCTGAGCAAACACAAACACACCCTTGATCGGCCAATGGGAAACACACTAACAATAAATCCCCCCGGGGCTCAGCCAATGGGAAATGCACCAAGAATTAATCCCCCAGGGCTCAGCCAATGAGAAATACACTAAGAATAAATCCCCAAGGGCTCAGCCAATGGGAAATGCACTAACAATAAATCCCCCCGGGGCTCAGCCAATGGGAAATGCACCAAGAATTAATCCCCCAGGGCTCAGCCAATGAGAAATACACTAAGAATAAATCCCCAAGGGCTCAGCCAATGGGAAACGCACTAACAATAAATCCCCCCGGGGCTCAGCCAATGGGAAATGCACCAAGAATTAATCCCCAAGGGCTCAGCCAATGGGAAATGCACTAACAATAAATCCCCCAGGACTTGGCCAATGGGAAATGCACCAAGAATAAATCCCCCCCCCGGGGCTCAGCCAATGGGAAATGCACTAACAATAAATCCCCCAGGGCTCGGCCAATGGGAAATGCACCAAGAATAAATCCCCCAGGGCTCGGCCAATGGGAAACGCACCCACAACATCCCCACCCCGGGCTCAGCCAATGGGAAATGCATTAACAAAAGAATCCCTTGCACAAGCAGACAAAACATCCTCCAGGCTCAGCCAATGGCAGACAAGCTCACGCCCTCTCTCTCAGGCTCAGCCAATGGGAAATGCACAGAAAACAAACAAACCCAGGGCTCAGCCCGCGAGAGACTCAACAGGAAATTATGGGGGGGCCACTGTGATTGGTCCGCAGGCGGTCTGTCTCCCTCCCCCGTCAGCTGTCCATCAAGCCCATCCTTCACGCCCTCGGGGCTCGGTTTGATTGACTCACCAGGGAAGCGGCCTCCCGCCAATGGCAAGGCCCGTTACGCCGCCCCCTCCACCTCTGGCCAATGGGAGCTCTCCTCACAAGCTCAGCGGGCGCGGGAGACGGGCGGCCAGGGGCGCGCGGAGGCAGCGGCCCAATCAGCAGCGGTCTTGCATCCCGGCGCGGGGCGCTCGGCCAATCGGCGCCCCCGTGGCACGGCGGCGCGGCGCGGGGCCGGGAGGCGGGCGATGGCGGCCATTTTGAGCGGGCCGAGCCGACGGCCGGGCAGCCGCGGCCCAGCGCGGGGGTCTGAGCGCGGCCGGGGCCCGGGCGGCGCCATGGACGTGCGGCGGCTGCGGGTGAACGAGCTGAAGGAGGAGCTGGGCCGCCGGGGCCTGGACACGCGCGGGCTGAAGGCCGAGCTGGCCGAGCGGCTGCAGGCGGCGCTGGAGGCCGAGGGGGCCCGGCGGGGGCCCGGCGGCGGCGGCGGCGGCGGCGGGGAGCCGGCGCCCGACGGACACTGTGAGGGGCGGGGCCCCGCGGGGGGGAGGGGGGCCCCCTGCCCGGCCCTGCCCGCGGGCCCCGCCCCCCCCCGAGCGCCGCGCCCCTCCCCCCCCACATCGCTTCCCGAGCGTCAGCCCCCCCCCGGGCCCCGTTGTGGGGGGCGCCGCTCCCGGGCGGGAACGCGGGGGGCCAGGGCGGGTAACAGGCGCCCCGAGTCCGGGGCCTGCCCCGCTGCCGTCGCTCTGTCGGGTGCGGGCGGCCGGTTACCGAAGTCCCCAGGGGACCACACCGGGGGGGGGGCGGCGCGTCGCCATCAGCGCCCCGAGGCCCCTGGTGAGACGTCGTCTGGGGGAGCTGCCCGGGGCCGTGGCTCGGGCTCCGCAACGGGCCAGGCAACTCCACCGCAGCTGCAGGGGACCCGCGGGTTCTCCCCGGGCTCCCCTTGTCGTGAGGGGGGCAGGCGTGACGTGCGACCCCAGCCCCGCGGCGTGTGGGGCTAGTGGTTAGAGCAAGGGCCATGGCGACACGAGTAGGACTCCTGGGTTCCAGTCCCAGCTCTGATGCAACTAACACGTCTCCCCCCCACCCCCATCTTGCACTGAGGTGGAGGCATAGGAAGTGTGCGTAGATATACAGCCGATAGACCTCCACACCCCTCATGAGGAAATGTTGCGTCCTTCTGCCAGTTGCGGATGCTTATTTGTTGCAGCACATGGGTTTTGGTCCACAGCTGGGTCAGCTCCTTGCCAGAGTAGTTCCTCGTTTTGTTTTCTTGTTGATGGATTTTGGCAGATGGGAATCCTGCCCGCCCTGAGGACACCTCCTCTAGACTTCTGCCAGCGTCCCCCCCCATTCGCCAGGTGGTCAGGGTCTGCTTCGGTTGTAGAATTGGTGTTGGCAGGTGCGCGCTGTAGAACAATGACTAGTCCGTTCTCCTTTTTTGCTGGCCTAATATTCCTACATGGTGCAAATGTACGGCTGGAGGAGCTACATGTGCAGGTGTGGAGATGTCTGGGTAATATACAGACTGAGCTTAAAAGACAGAAACTGAACTGCCCCTCAGGGATTCTGCATTGGGAGTATATATGGGTCTGGACTTGCTAGTCGTCTTACCATTTTATTATATGACACTTCAAATCATGTGCAGGAATGCTCCCTAAATCTCTGGTGCTGGGAAGTATGTGTCCCTGGGCAGCTTGTTTGCTTGATAATGTCCCTTTGAAACATACCTTTATCCTTAATAATGGTGCATCTTGTACAGGTCGCTGGCATGTGGTATTTCCATGTAACTTGCTAAGATACCTCATCATGCTGTGAAAGGGAATGAGCCACCAAGCAATATTTCACTAGAAGACACTGATTTGCTTAGGTTCTGCACCGAGATGCTCTTGCTATATCATTGCTGAATTTGTTTGACGGCCTCTGAGCAGATCACCAAAATTGGCTGATTTGCATTTCCCCTGGAAGCGGATGTTCCCTCCCTTGCCACTTTCACGTTTTGTGGCTCTTGGAAAGTAAATAGCAAGTTATCAGTTTTGCTCCTTACATCGCTGTCATGAGGGTCACAAGTCAATACTGTACATGTGGGAAGTGTTGTCTGTCATTGTTTGCTGAAGTGTTGGTTCGGAGACTCACCTTACTCTGGGATTTCAGGGTTTTGTTGTTTTTAGTACAAACTGGGTTGTTTCCACTGGAAAAGTTTTGTGACTGAAACACATGACTTTTTTGCAGTGAACAAGTGATTGGCTTCTTTGCCTTCATGATAGCTTTCTGAGAGTGCTGGGAGCCAGACCTGTTAGTCTTCTGTGCATAGGTCCCAAAAGTTGCAGGGACCAGTTCCCTGTTGATAAAGTGCTGAAGCTCACTTTTCCTCTGCATATGCTAGTTACAGTCTGTTGTAAGTACCGGCCTTAATGCATGCCTGTTTCTATTTGAAGATGCTGTCGACAACAATACTCATCAGAGTGACCCCCAGGGTTATCAGTCCTTCGAGCACTGCAATATTAAACAGGAGAACGAATCCAAGTACGAGAGGAGATCTCTAGACCACGAGCGTCCGGTCTTACACTCAGGTAACATTCATTTTAAAGTCGGCCTTATCAGCAAAACTCCTTGAAAAGTAAGATTATAACGAATGGGCATGTAATTACTGCCTTAAGTCACTGTGGTGCCCAGAGCTCTCCTTTGCTGGTGGATCGGTCCCTACCAGAAGAAAGAAGCTTTCTTTGGTCCTCTTCCCCTCCCTTCCATTCCCCATGCTATGTAAGGCTTTGATACAGGTTTGCAGTTGTATTGCCCCATTGTGTGGTGTGACCAAAGAACTGGTTTCAGTCTGACAAGCACTAAAAAGGCAGCATCAAGGGATGGAAGCTACACTGATCTGGCGTCTGAGACTTGAAATAGCCTGTTCTTAGACAGCTCTCCGAAACCCTCAGCTATAGATCAGTGGTGCATTTATGGTCCAGCGTTTTGTGGTTGTTCAAGGCTAGAAACAATTTCTGCATCCCCTGGGGAAGCTGGGATTTTGATTCCCACCGGGGTACAGCAGCTGAATGTATTGCTGCCAAAAAGATCACAAAACATCAGCCCTTAAAATGACATCTCTCTGACCCCCAGCTTACTTGCTGTCATCCCCCAAGTTTGCAGTATTTTGCAGCCTAATAGGGCTAGAAATAATTTGGGACCAGTATGCTGCCAAAGACTGGTCCTGAACATGCGATTAGGAATAGGGGAAAAAATGGAGCCCTGTAATGTCTTTTAATCACACTGGGGGGAAAGGGATGAATGATCATAGCGAAACTAGCCTGGGGAGTGGTGCGGGAGTTGTTAACATTGAGCTGCTCTTGGTAAAGGCAGAAGAGTCCCTGTCCTGTCATGGGTGACTGGAATATTTTAATCTCACTCCCTGTTTTGAATGCAGAGATGAAGACAGAAGTGAAGCAAGAAGAACCAGCTCCTGGCTATAACATGCCGGCTCCTGGCTATAACATGCCGGCTTCTGGCTACAACGCCCCTAGCTACAATGCACCCTCCTCTGGCTACAACACCTCTAGTTACGGTGCCCCCAGCTCTGGCTACAACGCCCCCACTCCTGGCTACAATGCACCCCCCTCTGGCTACAATACGCCTGATCCATCTCAGCCCAGGCAGCAGCAGCAGCCACAGGGCCGCAAGAGACCTTATGAAGAGCAGCGAGGGCGAGGGTATTACGAACACCGGGAAGATAAGAGGTGAGCTCGTGAAGGGAAACCTGGATGAGTCTCTGGCTTATTGCGGTTAAAGATGTTAATTCCTGGGCCAGGGGCTAAGGAGGATCCTAGAAGCTGAGTTTAGAAAGAGCTGGGAGCATAGCTTGTTGGGTCTGTCGAGGATTTTGCCAAAGGCCAGCCATTCACTTTCACTTCTTTCACGCTTGACCTAGTGGGTAGAGCACAGGACTTGGACTCAGGGGACCTAGGTTCTATTCCCAGCTCTGCCACTGGATATC